ATTAACTTATTACAGAGACATTGTATTGTATTAATTTTTAAAACTTTATTATAGCAGTTGTATTACATCGCTAAGTACCTAGTGAATTGCACACTTCAAAATACCTAACAGATAGAACAAATACATGGAAATTGTGGTTCAATGTCGTAATGTTACTGAATGAAATATTCCCGTTTGTATGTACTTTTAACATTCATACGATTTTGTTTTAATATGTAAAAATTGATGTTATTATTTAATTAAATCTACCACGTAAATGTCTGAAAATATCTATGCTAAATATTTTTACAGTCGTTAGGAAAACAATGATATGACATAATATGTGTTAAAAATAAAAAAGCAACGGTTACGAAATGTACGTATATGTAATATTACGTTATAGTTGGAGTAGGTATAGCAAAACAAATTCGATTCTTTACGATGTTAAGCAATAATGGAAAATATGTAACCTACATTTCCTATAAAGCGTTATGCGTTTCCTCTTTCAACAGGCAATAATTAAATAGAACAGTATATTATTAACGTTAACAAGTTATATTTATAGCTACTGCCGCCCAAGAGTCCATTTGCCGCCCACTGAGCTGTTAGGGTGTCGACCCGCGATGCGCCCAATGTTAGTGAAAAACCACATGTTGGAAAAAGTTGTACAATAGTATATTATAACTCAGAAACTATTACACAATACTAATTGTAATATAACGTCAGTACAACGGTATGGATTTAGTTTAGTTATTCAAATAAAGCATACAGCAATATATATCTTTTATGAATTTTTTTACAAGAAAATATATTTATATCGTATCGACTTTAGTATAAGGCAAACACAAGTAAAATGTAACTCCCATGGATTATAAAAATAATTAATCAAACCTCAATCAGATTTGTCAAAAATGTTTAGTATTAGAATATAACAGCGAATCTAGGGACTCTTTTCTTTTCGTAGCTAGTTAAAGTTCAGATAATATCAAAGCGACCTACTTCGAATTAATTTTGTTATTAAAATAATGCATACAGCAAAGAAGATTGCTGTTGCTTAAAAATTTTGTCTGAATATTTTGGGAGTTTGTCCCACTTTGTGTCCACTCTGAGTCACTTACATTGCGTTGTGACGAATTTTAGCAGTTAGCTACTATCTTCCGTTGCTATCGGGTTTTATTGTGTGAGAAATATAGTATAATAAAAGACCACTTATATGTTTTTGTGCTATTGTTTACAAGTTTATATGTATAATAATATGTGAGTATTTAATACAATTTCTATCTGCAACAGGTAAATATACAATGTGTCAAATCGATCGTAGAAACAAACGATTGTAAAAGGACTATTACAAATGTTGTATCGTCTGGAAAGCTCTGCCGTCTCCACGAATGCAGTCGGTTGCTGTCAACTTCAGGCTGAACTTTTTTCTTTATAATGGAATAGTCTTCTTGCTAGAGTACTTTGGCCCTCCATTTTTCTGTCTACACATTTCACCATTATTATTTATGGATGTATTCCATGTGTTTACTTACAAAGTTTTATGATGAAAACAAATAAATTAATCTTATTTCTATAGTACTACAATTTCGCTATAATCTGTATAGATTATCTAGTTAAAACTAAAAACCTACAAGTGCGTATCGTATACTGTTTGGTTTTTAACCAAGATTATAAACAAGTTTTTATTTTATGCATGAAAAATATATAATTGCAATTCGGAAACGAAGAGACCTCTTTTATCAACAAAAATAGTTGAGTCAAAAAATCTTTAAAATATTACAAGTGATAAAGGCCTATTGCAAATATTACAGAAAATAAATGAATATAATGCTGTTTCTAACTGACGCTGTTTTTCAGAAATCGTCTAAACCATGCACGAACAAATAAAATAAAAGTTATTTACATTTATTTTCATGTGTATATAAGTATAGAATAGAAATAATATTTATTTAACTTAAAATAAGTACTTTTTAATAGTAATTTAAATTCCGTATTTGTTCGGAACCCTCAGTGTCCGAAATTCGCACTTTACTGTATATTTTTAATCCCCGACACAAGAGATAGGATGTTAGAAGTTTGAAGTATTTCTAAGTGCTTCCTTTTGTATCGTATATAGTTTTAAAACAATAAACATGTTTGAGGTTCGTTTAAGTTCCATTAATGAAGTTTATATTTTGTTAATGGAAATCGCTTAACCATTTAAAGCTTCAACATTTTTTTATTTTTATTTGTGTTTACATTATATAGACCCTAAAGATCTAATAACGAAAGTCTGGTGGTTTTATAAAACCATTATTGCCACAGAATTTGCAAACCTGATATCTGACATTAATATTATGAAGTGAAAAATCGTATTTTGTGAGTTTGTGTGTATGTATTGGATAACCTCTGGTATCACAATACTTATTTAAAATATTCTTTCACCATTTGAAAAACATACCACATTGTACCATGTAATATAATTTGCTATATATTATGTTTATTTTTAAACTACAACGTAGCCGGGACTCGTAGCTAGTTTAAGTTAGTTTGGGAAATCCATATGACGTCGTCCAGACAATATATTTTCTTTAGTCTAGACAACACTGCTACTTGTACTTTAATAATACGGCAAATTTAAAAGTGCAGTCACAGTATTTTTCACTATATTCCTGTACTGTAACATACAATTATAACCGGTTATGTATGTTATCTATACTATTATACTAGTATAATTACATTTAAATGAATTTCCATATTTATCAAAATATACTTGTTACATAGTGACTAATGCTATTACAATTGTATATTTTTATAATAAATAAGTTACATATAATACAATACAATTTACAATATTTATATATAAATATATCTACGGAAATCAGAATATTGGATTAGGTCAACTTAGCTAAATGAAATTACTGAAATTGGTTTCAGCATTGGGCGATGTTCAATTTACAGCTATAATCGATGATTTAATCAACGCTATTGGCCTTCTATGAATCGCTGTAGAATGGTTTGCGTGATATGCAATATTATATTATGATTGCTTATATGTGATCAGTCTTGGGTTGTGCAGAAAAATTTTCTATCTTAATTTGTGTATATTTTTTTCGTTTTTTTTTTTGTATTTTTAAACATTGTTTGATTATAATTTATTTAGTGTAGTATAAGCATCATAATTCATTTAACTTTTTATCACATTTTCGGTTGGGGGCCTGGTGATCTGTATTAAAGGTTGTACTTATTTCAGACACCAGCTCCTCACAGCAAATCAGTTATAATAATAAATTTAAGCGTTTAAACCAAACAAATACCTACTTCATGTATTGTTGCCATCATGTTTGTGAGGAGAAATAAATAAATCATATTACTATTATTTTTACGGAAACTTTTTTATACTTATGTGATAACAGACTCTCCGTTTTCACGTCTTTTTTGTTTTTATAAATAAAATAAATATAACCGAAGATTTGAAAATAGTTACTGGCAACACAAACCGCCGGTAAGATGTCTAGTACGGTAGGTCTGAGACCTGATGGCGCTGTGTGTTGTCCAGAGTTATTATTACATATCCTAACATATTAATTACATATATATATATATATACATATATAGAATAGTAACAATTTTTAACAAAATAAATGACAATATTCAATTTGTATAAAACTGTTTTTTTGGTTTTGATAACAAACCTAAATTTGTATTGAAAATGTAAAATTAATATATATGTAATTTCCACTAGTACATATTACTAAAATTAATATAGACATACAATGATACATAGCGTGATACGAGTGTGAGAGTTGCATAAAATTTTGTTAAATGTAAATTATTGTTTGTCTATACAATTAAGTAAGTTTCAATATTTTTTCAGGCGTGCGATGTGAATACGTTATTAGTATTAATTATTAGAGTACCGACATCAATTATACGCCTCCTATCGATTACCAGATTCCTTCGACGAAGCAAGCATTTTAATTATGTACTGCATAGTCATCGCAAAATGTAATTAGCCTCATTGTATCACGGAGCGCGTGTAGATTCGATTATCATCTCATCATACTCACCCGCACCCACACAACACTGTTTGTGTGGATTATAATATATTAATATTATACCCAATACACCTTGGAATATCAAATACATATTATTATATGGGTAGTTACCCATATAATAATATGTATTTGATATTCCAAGAGAATAAGATCATTATTTTAGAACTATTATTTCCCCTATTTCCTCATCAAATTTATGGCTCGACATTCCTACCTATATATATAGTTTTAACGATGAATATTATAATATAAGTTATATTATATTAATTATTTTACAGCTTATAGTTTATTCTGAAATTCATAGTCTCGTAGACAGCCAAATCAATATATTATACGGAACTATTTTTAGGATATCTAACACGTGTGCGCCCTCGCTGTTGTACATTAAAATCGCGCTTTTGTAGGATATTCTCTCGGAACAGCTGTCGTTCTATTTCCGTTACGAGGGGAGTTTCTTTAACGAGTTTCAGTAAAATGTCATTCACAATCACAATATACACAACGCCTAATAAACATTCGCAGCGCGTTTTCACAACTTTGCTTTCGATACATACTTTCGCAGTGAACTGTCAGTTTGAATTCAATGAACATTTACGATTACTACTTCAGATAAAGGCGACCAACTATGAACTGCTTGAAAGCACGCGGTGGCCAACATGAGTATGATGGAGTAGAGCCGAGTGCGCCACCTTACTATCCACCACAGCCACCATACAATCCAGATTGTTTCTATGACCATGATGACCATGCACAAGCTGAATCATTAGATTTCGGCTCTTTATATACATGGGGTTTGTGTGACACCGAACGGTCTCTTGGAAACTCCTATGATGCCGATGATTCGGAGAATTATTATGATTGCGAGGGGTGGGGGCGTCGTTCACTGTATGAAGGCGTCAACTGGATGCCGCCACTGCCAATGTCGGTGAGTGCGCGCTAAGTTGTGTGCATCATAGAGCACGCTACTCAACTGCGCTTAGGTGTTACTCACTGTGTGTATAGAATGCAAATTAACAATATATAACGTATTGTGTTGTTAGCCTGTAATTAACACATGCTTGTTAATAACTTTACGGAACAACCATACGTTCGTTTATGTGATGAAAGTTTAATTCTTTTTCTATGTACTAAAACATGGATCAAAGTAGGAAGGGTGTCCGGAATGCATTAAGCGCAAGCGCATGCACCCCGATCTATTTCCGGGCGCAGGCGTCGGCTGTGTACATGTAGACGCCGTTCATTTTAAACCAAAACATGCGCGAGCTCGGCCGCGGGGGCTCACTCGTAGCTGCCACCATTGCGGCGTTACACAATCGAACTGCGATCGACGGAAAGCCTGGAACAGTTAATTCGCGCTCGATCTCCGTAGAGAGCAGAAATGTTGTGCGATCCGTGACCAAAGAAAAGTTTCACGACGATATTTCACGGCGTGCGTCCGGCGGAAGCGAGCGCCCCTTGTCCACCGCGTCGGAAGCCTCAGAACGCGATTCAGCTTCCGTTCAGTCCAGCGAGGAGCCGCCCCCACACGAGAGTACGTAATTCATGTATAGTATACGAGTCATTGACGTAGCTTAGTATTGGAAAGCGGCCAAACTCTAAATAGACACGTCGGTGACTCGTACAGAGAGCTTGTCGCGCAGTGTCGCTTATACTGAGCCTCATGTCCGACCGTGAATACCTGACAGAACCCTGTGACGAGGAGGAGGAGCGTGCGGCGGCGGGCTACGTGCACCCTGCCGTGCGCTCCTATATGTACTCGCCTATGGGTGAGTTCTCGTCGTTCATGAGGCTCTTTTTGTATGACAAAAGAGTGACGTTTGACGACCTTATCTCGTGACAGGCGGAGATTCGGATAGCCCTGATGAAGCGACCGTGAAATGTACAGTTTGGACCGACGGAGCTGTTCCAGCGAGGGCGGAGTCTTCCGACTCCGACTCGAGTTCATCGAGTGAGGATGACACCGACGAGAAAGAGTATGAAATCCGTGGCGGCGATGCTGACTATCGAACATTAACACCGAGCAGACGATTAGATAATTCTACAAGAAGAGATGATAACTTTAAATGGCTACAACCCGGAGAACTCATAGATGAGACAGTAGAGCAAATGGACTCTAGAACTGAAGAATATTCTGCAGCTAGTTTAGATAGACGAAGGCGTCCACACTCGGACCGCAGTGATCGCGATCGTAAATCCCGCTCATCACTGTCAGGAAAGCCGCCACAGCATCCGTCTGCTAGTGTTCGGGCTTCCCCACGTCCGCGTCGACCTCGAAATGAAGAAACTCCACCTGAATTGCAGAGGCGTTGGAACTCATATGAGCATTTTCGATGGCCTGAAGGAGGATGGTGGCCGCCCATGTGCTGGTGTCACGGACCTCCAGCGCCTCCACCGTGCTGTATGCATGATCGATCTTGGCCCTCACACCCTTCATTGCCTTCGGTACCTGCACGACCTTTTAAGGTACAGAGGAAGTATAAAATTTATAAAGATACCTAACCATAATAGTATATACTTATTATTAATTGAACTCTACATGAATATAACATTTTTTTTCAATATATTAATATATCAGAGTTATTTATTTAAAAATATACAATGAGTGCTGTGCTTGAATTTTATAAACGTGCATGACATCGTTATATAAGGATTCCTAAATACCTAATAACGGTACCTATTTTTGATTTGTTATATTGTATCTTTGTTAACCGTTTTATTGCACAGTCTCTAATGTTTTAAGTATCTACTATACAGTCGTATATATTTCTGTATATTTTTCAACGATCTACTAAAGGGATATTGTTTCGTACTGTTTTTTTTTGTTAATGTTACTTTAAGTCTTCGCAAAAATGGCTCAAATTGATTTTGATGAATTTTTTCGACATCAATAGAGTTTTTGGTTACTTGTATAATTTTAGATCTGATTGGTCGGTTTGTATTTGTGTAACAAAATGTGGTTCTTCATATTGCTATGTTTAGATGGGTGTAATCATAACAATATGAAACATCACCCTTCTGACTTTATAAAATAGACGCAAACATGTTTGTTAAAAAAAGCGGTTTGTTTGTCTATATATTTCAGCATCTCTTATAATAATAGTCTCGTTAGCCATTTCAACTATGTTTTGTTTGTGCAGAATGATGCAGAGGATCGAGTGCGGCGGCTTGAAGCCGACAAAGAGAACCTTCAGCTGCAGGTTCAGGTGTTATCTGAACAGATCGCGGCCCAGAGTGAAAAGATGGGAGATCTGGAAAGGTCGTTGCACGATGCCCGCCAGAGGTTGGATGACGCTGATCAAAGGCTACAGAAGGTAAATAATATTTAGGTATATATATTTTTATGGAAGAACTAAGTAGTGTAAATAATAGTAGCCAGAACAACGAGCAAAATAATTCGACTATTTTTTAGCTGTTAAGAATAATATACGAGAAATTATATTCATATAGTAATTGCCTTTTATTTTAAGATTACGGTTGCCAACTGAAATTTTTAGGAATGTATTAATAGTTTAAACGGAATATTTTCACTCTTTACCTGCAAAGGACAATCTATTTTATACTAAATAATTTGCAGATATCCAGTATCATAAACAATAAACAATCACGTAAGTTCGACAAATACACAATATTATACTGTAATATAATTTGAGGTATATTGTAGGTGAGAAGATTATTGTAGGCTCCTGAAGATTTATTCTTGAAGAATGAGACACAGTTATCTTCATTTGTAGCTTGTACCAACATATGCATGTTATATATCAAATTTGTGCTGGTTTCTCGCTACGCCGAGTTCCTAATTGTACGTAGTTTGAGGACATTTGTGTCAGCCGTCCCGGACTAAAGTTATGCTACCGTTTGTACGTAAATAATGTACATAACTACAATATATATTCAGTAATTATATAGCGTCGCCTTTATATTATAGTGGTACTCTTTAACATTCAACACGGCCTAGATCCCGCTGGAATGGAGCTATTGAATAATCATGATCAGCGTGGGCCGTGCAAATTCTAGTGCGAAGTCACTGCGGCGTTTAGTAGTATTATAAAAGTAGGTGCAATCTGTATTATCCTGGAATGATCAATTTTTAAATGAAGTGGTTTTGGTATATTACCTTACCTGATGAAAAGTGCTAGTCGTCACCATGAGCAGCAAATGTGGATATCACTGAGTGACTACTTATCGAACTGCACTATATGGTAAAATTTAGTTAATATTAAAAAATACATAGTATAAATTGTCAAATATACATTATGATCCAATCAACTCTTATTATTCACGTCTTCCACACAAATTTCATTGGCATCTCAATCGAAACGTAGCCATGGAAGCACCAACTATCTCGCTGGATAAAGCAGAGCTAGCCGCTGCTAGCCTAGAGATACCGAAAGGAAAAAAAATATAAAAACCTTGACATTATCATTTGAGAAATAGCAAAATACATACATTCACTATGAATTTTTTGAAAAGCCATAATTATTACAGTATTTGTTAAAACTTCCTTGGTGGATATTCTTCATCACAAGGAACCTATAAGAAAGTTTTTATAACTTTATGATTTCCGATACTAACAGCATAGTCACCAAATGTATCACCTCACATACAGCCACATAGTAATACAGGTGTTTATACAGTATATGTGACATATCCACGATTAGGTAACGCCATGTATGGTGGTTATTAAATTAGTTTTGCTCAAGGTATGCAATTAATTATGAACTATGGGCAATTGGTATGTTTGCAATTTTGTATATAAGCGTACGTATCTATGTATTTCATTCATAAGTGTTTAATTTTCTGTCTGTCGTATTATGCATATTAATAATGATTAAATATTTTTCATTAGCAATAATTAATTAAATCTGATTGGATAATACAATCATATCTAATTAATTAATAGTGATTTTACTGAATTAAGGAAATAGATATCAATATACAATATACCTAATAAACATACAATCTGAACACTGTTTTAAAACATACATGATTGAAACCAAATTGGGTTGGCTGAAGGGTGAGTGACGGTTGATTTTTTTTCATACAGTTTACGTTTACTAGAACGCCCTTTTTTAATTTTTCAATTATGCTCTGAGACGGTATGTGCTATGTTATGCCATTAAATCAGTAAACCATCCCGTCCTGTAAAAGTACAGTCTCGGACTGTTAAATTATATAACTACAATTTTTTTACCAACAACTAATATTTTTACAAAAATAGACATAGGTAAAAAAAATGTCTGTTTGTTCATATAAACTTAGAGTAATGCGATATTGTTTCGTGTTGACTTACTTGCTTATATTTATTTCTTGTAAAGCCCTAGGGCTTACATTGTACAATATATTTGCGTATAATTATGAAAATGGAGTAACTTTGAGTATTACGACTCATAAAGCTCTGGAGAGCTAATAAATTCCGCCCAGGGATATCTAATTAAATGTTCACCTACGCAACGACTGTTAAAAATTTTACGCAAAGCAAAAGTTTTAATACGTATACTGTTCATTATTATTCACTATAACAGATTTTATATTCTTATGGGTGACATACACTGGAAAATGATAGTTTATCTTTAACTTTACATAGTATGAAACAAAAGTCACTGCCGATGTCTGTTTGCTTATATCTTTTAGATTACGCAACGGATTTTAAAGTAGTGTTCAGCAACAGATAGAGTCATTCAAGAGGAAGGTTTATATGTAAAATACATGCCTGTATAGAACAAGCAGAGAAATTCAAAGATTACTAGTTCTCTATAAACATTTTTTATCCTATATGCAAAAAATGGTGGAACTAAAATAGGCATTCGTTCATTTTGATTGTAGTATTATATCGTGGTACATTCCAAGTGTTCTCCGCAGGAATGACGGAACAAAACAAATACCGCTCTAATTCTGTAGTCCATTTATGTGTTGCGTACCGGCCATACATCTCGCGAACACAGATGCGGTTTTTATTAGCGCCAGACATAGCAGAAGCAGGCTACTATAAAGTATGTGAATGATAAAAGTTTAATTGAAAATAGGTCGGCTTATTTACGTTGTTTGCACGTCGTGTACGTACTGTTTAGACAAGTTAAAAGGTTTAGCAATAGCAATTTTTTCTCAGCTAGCTATCTAACATTTGTTTTGAAATGTTTACCGTACTGCTCGACTCCTTAGGTCTAGTCTGATATTAGGAATATTTATTATGTTTTAGTATTCAAACTATCGTAGAAATTAATCATTTTACCAGGAGTAGACTAAATAGTCCGGGATCTCGGCCTCAGACTGAAATAGCCACCAAACAGCTTGCTTTGAAGACTGTGTTTAAGTAGTAGGGTCAGATTAGGCAGTGAAATGAAAGAATAAGAGGCATAAGATCTGAATCCTATGAAATGGCAACGCTTGAGTGGTATCACGGATATCATGTATATATGTACATGTGATCATGTAAACATGATGTCGTTAATGCTGTTCAAGTAAATAGGTGACGGTTATCGTTTACCATTAGTCGGGCCGTTAGCTTGTTTGCCACTCTAATTACATGAAAAAGTCTTGTTTATTTTTCTGTATTTTTAGGAAATGTTACAACGCTCCTCTCTTGAAACTCAAAAGCTAGAGCTCTTGTCAAAATTGAGCGAGGTACGTCTACGCGTTGCTGAGCGAGGGCTTCTAGAACGTTCTCCGCCGCCTGATGCTGCACCCATGCCTCTTGTGAGACCAGCACCTCCCAGGGTATGTTGTTTATATATAATATCCTTAAATACTAATTATTTTGATCTAAATAATTAATGATATTTTCATAAAATTGTATGATTAAAAAAAAATCGAAGAAGAAGTAAAACAATATCGTCTGGATGTTTATATCAGTTGTCTAGTACTCATAACGCAAGCTCTACTTAGCTTGGGACTAGATGCCACTGTATGAATTAACCTGAATAATTAAAATAAAAAAATAATAAGCATTTTCCAAGGTATAGTCCATGTGTTGTATTTTACTGTGTATTTTTTTTTATAGAAAGTGTTTTAAGTTTTTTCTACCTAGTTGTAAACACGAGCATATAGAGGCGAATGAGACTGAATCAATAATGTAATTTCTTCATTCGGATTTATATTAAACCTTATGAAAACACACTCGCTGTTTTAAAATGTAGTATAAAGAAGGTCGAATCCTCCTTGCGGACGGCGTCGTATAGCCTTCGTTCTATTGTGGCTGATTGGGTTATCATAGAGGACTACATTCTTACTATAAACTTGAACATTAGCTAACACTAGAGCTCTAGCTATTTGTTGTATAACAAGCTAGAACATGACGATATTATAAACATTGTAATGATCACAGCAACCATTTTAAACGGTGATATCGTCAGTATTGATCATAAATATGTATTGTGATGAACACTGGTTGAAAATCGAGGATACATTCTTTAGTGTCCACTTTCGTATGACACATATGAAGCACCGTATTCTGGCCAATATGTATCGCCTGAAGTTTTAAGGTTTTGTTTTATTGCTTATTCCCGAATACTACGTCTTCTCCCATTCTTAATTAAGTTTTCAAAAAATTTTTTAAAAAAATTCTACCAACATTGGTTTATGTTTGAAAATAATAAAAAAAATATGTTAACAACAGTAATTATTGGAGGTCTGGAGAACTTGGAATTCATGTTTAAATTACTTAAAGCACTTGTAGTGTTCCACAAATTATTATTGGCTATGTACTAGATTTGCTTTTAAAAAAACTTATTACAAAATTGAAGAGTTTGTAAATGTTAATAATGTTTTAGTAGAAAAACATTAAAATTTCTAACATTATTATCTGATTGGACAAATAATGAGTACGTAGCGGTTTCTATGTTGATTATCGCATGCCTTCTACTTGTTACTATGTATTTATTTATTTAAAATAACACTTATTCAAAAGAGCAACACGCAAGTTGTTCTTTCTTCTTGTGATGAGTCTGCGTTTCGAATGAGTGGTAGAATAAAAAAATATGACTATTCAAAAGTGCTTGTATTGAGTTTATTTGAATAAACATGATTACTTTTTCTATTTTTTTTATAGTACTCTTTATTATATTATTTCAGACACCGCCTGCGAACTACGGACGTCAAATCGAGCGCAACACTCACATGTATTCGTCGTTGCCGCGCTCGTCGGTGGTAACGTCAGAGGCGCGCGTCGCGTTCGGTAAACAGAACAACATGGTGGTGGCGCGCGGATACGGACGCTCTGTGCCGAACCTAGGTCTCTCAGAATACGCTTGTCGCGCTTCGGTAGCATGTGCCATGTCGCCCCAAACTCAGACGACTACATACCGTGTACCTACAGAGTGGAAAGCTGTGCTTGTGTAAAGCTCATTCTGGAAAGTTGTATTAGTTAAATTACTATATATTGTAGATATACCACCACTACATAAAATAATTATATTAAGAATAATATATTGATGGACCAATTAATCGCTGCGCAATATAAACATTCTAATTCATAACGGTTTTTATTAGTCTAAAATACAAATAGACATTTAAAATTTGCAAATATATACATTGTTTATGTTTTTATATATAAAAAACATAATACACATATAACATAAATTGTTTTATTTATATTAGTATTCATCTTGTTATGGGACCATTACTATCTGGTGAAGTGTCCTGGGTTTGTCATAAGTTTTATTTAATTTTTCTTGCTTTTCTATTCGAGTTTACAATTTTTTCGAATGAGCATAACCTGATGTGCTTTCAATCTGGGTATAGGTATGTATTCTTTTGTACCCTAACTGTGTCTGTGTATACCAACCAAACGAAACGAGTTTTTAAACTTTAATTTAATATACTGGCATAATTGTAATTCTATTTCTTTTAGTGTCCTTAATAGTTAACATTACATATGTTGATCAGTAATGTAGTTATACTATTTTATATTTTGGATAAAATTAATTAAAGACTAAGTGATAGGTACACTTTTAGAGTTTACCTTCTGTTCTATAAATCATTTATAAGTTATATTAATAATTTATAGGAATACAAAAACATATGTCAAGTAGACTACTCTAGTGGAGCTTTCTTTCTATTAACGATTTTACACAAAAATGTGTGTATTCAAGGGTTTAGGTAAGTATTTTGTTATATACTAGGTATTTTCTATTTTTGAATTTCCAAAATAAAATGCATTTAAATGCAGTCTGCAATGTCCAATAAACACCCAGATTAATCAATCATTAAATGATTAATCTTGTCTATCAGGTCAGTTCTCAGGTACTCATGGTACAAGATCTGATATACAAGTTTAGGACTTTATTATAAACTAATAAAGTATTATTTTTCAGCCAATATGATTGTTGTTAAATTTTAGTCTTTTATGCCATTATATTAAAATATTCAAGTGTCTAACATAGAACGTCCGCTAGCCCGCATGTACTATTTACTAAAATTAAATGTCGTTATAATTGTGTGTGACCAGTGTATTTACAAATAAGATTTTAGAACTGAACTATATGTTTACATCCGTATATATTAATACTATTGATAATGTTTAAAATGCATGGTTGTTGTTATAGAATATAATTTTGGAGAAGAAATAAAGTTTTTGTTATCTATAAATTTTGATTATAAATTATTTACAACACAGTTAACAAGCAAAACATAGCTTTACTTTGTTGTGCATAGTGTTTCCTATTATTATTAGTGTACATCTAGTATTATTTTTAATAGATTATTATGGTATTCTTCAATCGGCAGCGCTAACCATATCGTTAGTGGGCACTGGAATGTATATATTTTTAGTGAAATATGAAAATGAAAAAAAAAATGAAAAAAATAAGTACTATATTAACAAAAAAAAGTCGGCATGGACTTTGACTAATTACGTTAACACTATGTTGCATTAATAGTATATTACAAAGAGAACTAATTACGGAGTAATGGTACAAAAGTTGATCTCATCGTTTAAGGAATATTTATTTAGAGAAGACAAGACATATTGTGCAATGAATCCTTTAATATTTATATATGTTTCAGCGGAGAAGGATGAGGCGATAGATCGCGGAAGCCCGTCGCCGTCACTGCGCGAAGTGCGTGCGCGACTCGGATCCGCTCGTCTCGAGGGCGATGATCTCGCACGTCGCTCTCAACAGCGCAGCAGTACCCGCACTACACTGCATGCACCTACTGTCCACGTCCGCCCCGCGCCATGGTCAGTTCGTCTCGATCCTATTGTTTAAATTTAACTTCATGGTAAACGGTTACCATAGCCTATGGACGCCTGAAACAGCAGCGGTGTTAATATGTCCTTCTTGAAAAACTCCATGCTGTAGGCTCTCGAGAAAACCTTGGCTATGAGTTCATTTCATAATCTAAGTGTGTGTGGGAGGAGGTTTCTCTGAAACCGCACTGTCGGAGATCCCTTAGGTTCCAGCGTGTTGTGATGAATTCCCTATCGATGTCGAGCTACCTGCGAACGATCTGAGGTCAAATTATGGGATCCGAATTGAAAGGGTGGAACGTGCAACGGATATACCTTCACACATTACTAATGCAAATCCCTATATGTACGAGCTAGCATCGTACATTACTTGGCGACGTTACCATTTCATTCTACATTTTCGTATTTCACCATAATCAGTTTCGCATTCAGTAACCAAAATTGCTGCGCATACTTTCGTTATTAAGCAGTTTAATTATCAATATAAAAATGCTTTTTTACTTATAAGAATCTCTTTTATGATTATTTATCAGTATCTTGTTATAGTTTCGGTACAATCCAAATAATATAAAGCACTGCACGCACTGGCACCACTCCCGGGCTGCTACTGAAAATCAGTGTTTTGCTCGTTGAGTAATTTGTTCACTCAGTAGCTCAACCCTTTCGTATCCTTGTAGTACTTAATATTTTACTATGTTTTCTTTTTACGTGTAAGTTAAGAGTAGAGTAAGAGTGTGTTTTTTTCTTATATATAACAACACGTATATGATTGTTTATAGCATTTCGTTTATAGTATTTATAAAGATTTTATCTATCTATAACGAAATTTAAAGAAATATTAATTTCAACGTTGGTTATTAGGCAAACCATAGACGTGCGTGAGTGGGATTGTGAAATGACATGCGGGTGGCTGGAGAGCATGGATATGGAGGCGTACATACCGGCTGCTCGCACTTGGCTCGGTGCCACGCCGTCAGCTCGCGGCGTTCTCGCCGCAGCTTCGCACAACACCATTGAGAAGGAGCTAGTCATAAAGCATCCCATGCACAAAAAGAAAATCGTCCTCGCCCTTATTGATTTAATGGTATGTATGACAACATTTCTCAAAAGCATATATTGTATATATGATAATAGTATCTACTGAATAATTTATGATACCGACGAGTAAATTATAAGATAATATTTATTAAAATTGTCTACATTAACTTTAGATATATTTACATTCCTTGTAATTTGACGCATAATGCGATTGTACGTGTTTAGAAATAAATATATGCGCTTAGACAGTATGAAGTTTATATAAATTACACTATTATGGTAATGGTAATCATGTGGTAGGCATTTGTATATTTTTTATGTAATTGGAATGGCAAATGGCAAAATGACGATAATCTTCATAGTAAGTGGCAATCATCCATGTGAATATCTCTTTTGTAACTGTGAACAACTGAGATATGTATATGCCCCGAGGCGTAAATTCGAACTTGGCACAACCCAAATTTTTAAGGTTCCTCTGAAAATTCGCAATTTTACAAATCGTATATTTATATGTATATTGCAAAAATGTCGACCGGAGGGAGAGGTCGGGGAGTGTTATTCCGATTACATAAAAAGTTAAGGCCACCGGTTCCACCACGAGTAAGACCCCGGCGGGCGGTGTAGGGCGGCGAGAGCGACCCGTGGCTGTCGGCGGCGGGGCGGCTGGACTGCGCGTGGGCGCTGCGCTGGCTGGAGGACGTGGGCGTGTGCGGCGCGCGCGCGGCCGCCGCCGAGTGCGCGCTGGACGGCCGCCTGCTGCACCGCCTCGCGCACCACGACCTGCACGCGCACCTGCGCGTCGCGCACGCGCTCCACGCGCTCGCCGTGCGCAGGGGTACCACTCATACTGTTTTCCTTATGCGACGGCTCGACGGCGGCCAGAGTTAGCCCGGTCCTCGCGCCGTAATTACAGTGGCTCAAGGTGATACCACCTCGTCTAGTGCGCACTCAGCCGCCGCCGAGTGCGCGCTGAGAGAGAGATGGCACTCGAAACTCGCGGAAAGGCTTGTACAGTACAGGGCTGAAGGTCAACTACCGCCTGACGGATATGAGTTTATTCTGAGGGCACCTACCGTTCACCACCTAGCATCTACCGCTGCCAGTGTTATCTGCCTCTTACAACTTTGGGTCTTTCGAGTCAAGAGTGAATAGGCACAATTTTAGGTTGTGCGTAGCTTAGAACGTTTCATTGTTGATGGGCACTGTCGATGGACAAGGGACTAGGAAAGTGGAAATAACGAAAATATTTGACTGCAGATGGAAATGAATTAAAAAGAAAAAAAAACGGGAGTAGCAGTAGCTAAATAGCCGGATTATTCAGGAGTAAAATTTAGTACAGAATATATAGCGGATTGAAAAGTGATTTTCTATGAAAATGTACTTGTACTTACAGGAATCCAAGTCTTGCGAGACAACAAGTTTAATCCTGACACGATGATCCGTCGGGGGGCGGAGGGCGAGACGGTGGGCGCGGGCGCCGACGGCAGCGAGGGCTCCGACGGCGGGCCGGGCGTGGCGCCCGGGGAGTTGGCCCGCTGGTCCTCGCACCGCGTCATGCAGTGGCTCAAGGAGATAGACCTCGCAGAGTACGCGCCCAACCTGCGCGGAGCCGGTAAGTAGCCGTTTGTATTTGACCTGACGGCCGCGGTGGTCTAGCGGTTTACCGCACCGACGGTCGCGGATTCGATTCATCTCACTATGCAATTATTTTTATTCATCATCGGTTGTTGGCTGTTTTGTATGTATATTATATATGTATTTATAGAAAAAAGTGTTTAAGTATTCCTAGCTAGATGACGCTCTGTAAAAATTGTTATTATAATTATTATTATCTGTTACATATAATAATAGTTATATTTTATTAAATTTGAGCTATTACCTATCATCAGCATTCAAATAAAAAAAACGCATCACAATCGGTCCATTCCTTTAGGACGTAGCTCCTAAAGGAATGCCGTAGACACACACACATATTGACATAGATTCATAATTCATCAAACTTATAACTCCCCTCTTTTTCGATAGGGGATTAAAATGTAAGTTATCGCTGTCTGTACATGAAAGATATATGGGAAAAACAATGAGAGACATTATTAACATAATAAAATACTAACAATAAATACGATTTTTATGTTTATGTGTTTGCGCGCTAATCTCAGAAACGGCTTAACCGATTTGAATACGCTTTCACTAGACGCTTCTTCTTTTTTTTATAAATATTTATTTCCCGATATTCCTTAGGTACGTCATTTTATTTCAATCAGTTACAAAGAAATAAATATACTAATACGAAGTTGCGAATCTTTCTTGTTTTCCTATAGTATAGTGAAAGTAAAATCATTCCATTCCATGAAATTCTCATAATTTCTTATTATTCCAGGTGTCCACGGTGGTCTAATGTTATTAGAACCACGCTTTACGGCCGAACTTCTAGCGGCACTGCTAAATATTCCAGCTAGCAAAACTCTTTTACGGCGACATCTCACACAACGGTAATAATAAACTTCAATAAAATATGAAGCTGGTTGTAGATTATATAAGGCTACATTCATTTACTAATATTATAAATATGAAAGTAAGTTTGTTATCTCTTGTCGCTTTAATGGATCAACAAATAGGAATTAAATATGGTATATAAGTATGTATGGAGTATATTTTTAAGCCGGTTAATCAAGATATATATACTATAGTCTTGAAATAGAAATATTACTCAGCAATAATGTCTTATATAGACGAAAGTAACCTGACGAGTATAGTAGATTAAGTATATTTTATTAACTTGCCGTTATTATAATTGTTATAAAACGTTAACGAGAGAACTCTTGAAATCATTAGGTATTGTAGTATAAATGCTAATGACGATATTTATTTCTACAAAATTTTCAGGTTTAACGAGTTACTGGGTCGAGATGTTATACAGCAGAAAAGAAACGCAGAGCAGACACTAGGCTACCAACCTCTCACTGCAACCACCAAATATAAGGTACTATCTCTATAAAACTAAGTGTTTCTGTGTTACTGCATAGAACACTTGGTTTTATATTCACTATTCACACCGTAAGGAACATAGCGTGAAAATTTAATCTTTTAAAATTCAAAGGCACATCAGCACATCACAACTTCTAGATGTTCTTGCAAAAGTTACTTGTTATTTTCACATGTTCTAGAAAACACAGTTACTTAGTAGACTAGCTCATTAAGCACACTTTACTTTCCAATTTCTAGCGGTCACAGGTTTATTTTGGCCTATATGTTTTGGGGTCATTAGACTGAATAAACAGCTAGTATTTTAAGAGTTTTTTTAATGGATGCTAATGGAATGGTGCCATCTGACTAGCTACTAGTAGTATGTTTGTCTTTTATATTCTTTATTGCATTTTAAATATATTACTTAAGATTATTAACACAAATTCCATTTATTATGCTTTAAAATTTTCAGGTACCAAAGAAGAGTCAGTTTTCGCTGAAACGGAAAAAGAGTAAAGACGAAATGGACATGGGTGAGCTGGTGTGTCCGTTCCACGACGACGGCTCAGGTGACGTGCCAACCTCACCAGTAAGTTGTATACTAACAATACTAATATTCATATTACACAGTAGCACCAACATTATACAGGCTGTATTGGAAATAATAAAATCCTCTGAAGAAATATTACAATCTGCAATGTACTGGATAACTTATCTAGTACCATACACCCAACAATTTCGCTTATTAAATGGTTAAATTCTTATTGTTTGAATTTGGAATTATGTATATTCGATTTACATTTGACGAGGTTACTGGAAACTATAAAATAAATATAGCATATACTAAAAGAAATAATTAAATAAAATGTCTCCTTACAATACCGTTATGTGCTTTAGGTTGAAGAGTGTGACAAAGCAAATTAAAGGGAACATAGGCATGATATCGTGTACCTAAATCGTATGCAAAATGACAACGCATGAGTGCTATACGGACGTTACATGTAGCTACGGTTGGCACATGATATAGGCAACGGTTTCCGCTTATTACATTTAATTACATCCAGTAATTTTGTTTGCCAATCAAAATACATACTAAAAATTATGTGTACGATCGATACGAAGAAAACTCACTAGTTACAATAAAATAGGAGCAGATCGTGATTTTGCTTATAATACTGAATAATTTATAATTGTTTTCACATAACATATAATAGAGATTTTTTTTATTTTATACATATATATATATATATATATATATATATTTTTATACATGTCGATTTCTTAACAACGCTTCAGAGGATTAAATATTTCTCGTAATTTCTGTAGAAACAATTAAAAAATTGAAGTGTTCATCTGTGATTTCCAACGACTACGATGACCATGTGGTATAGTTAATTTATTCGTCTCGGTTCTAACTGGTTCGAATTTGTCACTGACGTGCCTACTGGTGCGCTTTATGAATGTAATCGTCTTGACAACAACGTAATAGATCACTTTATATATTCCTCAAGATATACATATCTATTATGAAAAATAGAGTAAATGATATGCAGTTTTTGTCCATTAAAGAAAAAAATGTTTATTTTACGCTTGATGAATTTGTCACGATGACCTAACTGTCTATGTTTGTATGCCCATAGCGTTTACAGAAAAAAGCGGTTTATTAACATCAATAAAACAGCCCTAACTATTATTGAACGAGTACAAGATGATTTTAATACTGAATTCATATTTTAATATTATGAAGTGATTCATTATCTTGACTTATTTACTTTTTGACAATTATTTTAAAGATATAATACAGAATTTATGTTACGTAAGATGGAGACTTGTGCATTTTTTTATTATCAATATAGTACAAATTAACACCAGCTGGACACTACAGTTTAATTGGAATATAATGTGGAAGTACGTAAAAAAATTAGTAATTGATTTATTTACAATACAATGAACTAATGTCGTGAACTTTATTAGTTTCTGATACCGACAGTTGTGTTTTGACTGTTAGCTGCGGGTGATACTGATGTTCGGTAATTAAATATTTTTTTATTTTGCTTTTAAATATTATTTCATTACAGCTTTTGCACACTGGTAGTTTTAGTTTGGTGTGTCTCTTTTCTTAACACATCTAACAGGGAGTTTGGGATTTTTAACCAACATTTCAAATTAAAGCTTATGGTTTTGGTGACATTGTAAATATATTAATTTATATTAAGTAATATCATCATTTTTATGGGTAACCCAAATATTTATAAGGTCATTTGTAGATGGTTCTGTGCTATTTTGATTTATATTATGGTGTCATAATTATCGTCATTTTTGCGTGATAGAGAAGTTTTTTTGTATGTGAAAATGTGGAACTTTTGTAAAAATTGTGGAAATTTTATAATGATAATACTAGTGAAATGATTTTATATCATATTTAGCATAGCATCACCGACCAGCTGATGTATTATGGGCGGGAGCGGTAGCTTCCTGTGGATAACTATTCATTAGATTGACAAAGTTAAGCTCGATACCTATTTACCACCTGACAGGTTGTATGCTTGTTTATTACCGTTGTTGTATAACAAAAATAGTAGGATAAACTAAAATAGTACATTGAGGTCTTAATATACATAGATATGATAGAGATGTGTAGTCATTGAGGTCACATCTTTTAATAATAAACTGCATTAAATAAAAAATGAGAGTTTGGAAAAGGCAAACCTTTAAAGTAATTTTTTCTTTTAAATTGCAGAATTATTAAGCATGCGACGTCAGGAATCAAATAGGGAATGAGAGATTCTGTGTGTATTAGTGTAATCTATGTTGTCCTTTGTGCCATTTCTGTATGTAGGACGGTGATCACTTTACCCATTTACCATAAACCACTACCGGTTCTTGAAAGAATGCATTTTGAAAGGTTTAGATCCTATTAAAAAAATAATTAAACTATAAAAGCAAGCGATGAAAATAAAGTTTATCAAGATTACATCAATTACTGTATATATTATAGAATGGTACAATAATTAAAATGTAGTATTGTACTAAACAATACCGTATTGGACGAAAGTTTGAATAGAATACATTTTGGTGTTTTCAGACGATGAGAGTAAAGTCAGCAGCAGTGGGCGTCGCGTCGGCTGTCTCTCCCCCGCGTGACGACGCGCGAGCACATTAGCTCACTTGCACTACAATGCGCTAGCTCACTCGCATACTAGGGCGCTAATTTACTAGGTTTCTAGCGCAATAGTGTACTAGCTCACTAGTCTATCAGCGTCACTTGAATGCACTTAGCTGGCGTCGGTAATGTCCAAATGGTGTCTTAACGACACAATGTTTGCCTTGGATTACTTGTTATTAATTTTTCATGTTCGTGATAAAAAAATAATCATACTAATTCAAGTTTCAATAATCTTTTCATTAAGAAAATCAAATTAATATGTATGAAATCTTTCATGAAATAGAGTTTTAATTTACGTATATTGGTGCTACAGTTAAATTTGGCGGCACGGAAGTATTTTGATAGTTTTCAAGCTGTTTGAACAAATGTCCAAGGTATGATAAGTATACAATAATATTGTTATTGAATTAAGTATTTAACAATGTATAATTTAAAATCTAACTGCCAAATCATGAGTTCTATCAGTTTAGTTGATAATTTATAAAGTTTAAAGGATTAGATTTTATTTAATAAAAAATATATTTAATATTAAGTATAAGTCTATCACTGAGAGTTAAAATCGTAATAACTTTCTATTTATTAATGAACGATTAATGAAAAAAATAAGTTGTCATAAAGCAATAGACATTCCAATGTTTTCTATCAATATAAAAGTTACAAATATTCATTATTAAAAATATATTTGATGATATACAATGCATAGATTTGTAATATTATATTATTATCACAATAGATTACAGTATAGAACTTCGTTAAAGGTTTTAAAAAGGTACTTATCTGTGTTATAAACATCTTATATTTATACGTAGCTTGGTAGAACACGACTGAAAGATGACAATATAATCCTGGTCTCTTTTCTATTTACTACAAATAATTTCCTGTAGATTTAAGAGTTGATCGATGTGAAGAACAACGTGTGTGGTTTATGAATATTCTTGTTAGTGTTTGAGACGTATTAATAAAGTTTATTAATTTAAGGGTGTTTCACACAAGAACCAATGTCGTGCTGTATTATTATGTAACGATCAGTATTCACACAAACATACTCTCGCTTCTTTGTATTTATACTGACAAGGTCTTTTGAATCTTATTGCCGTTTTTTGTAGTTTCCTAATTTAACAGTGGAACTGATTTTTTGATATACCTATTATCTAATTGTCGCACAATGTTAACACATAGGTATCAATTTTTTACATTTTATAAAATTTTATAGAACACAAATTAGTATTACCCATAGGCCTGTTCCTAACACGTTGTGCCAAATATACATATAATGCCCTTTAACAATGGACCCTTGTCTTCCATAGTGATGTAATTCTTAATAATATGTATACTCGAAAAGTATTAAATGGTGTATATCATTAGAACAAGAAGATCATTTGTACAATAATATATTAAATAATTTTTACAATAACTTAAAGTCATAAAATGTAAAAGTTAATAAATACTGAATGAACATAATTGCTTTTATTTTTAATCTTTGTTATCAAATAACTGTTGCGATTTGACGTAATTTGTCTCTACATTTTTCAATACTTTCAGGCCCTCTGAAAAAAAAAACAAAGCGATATATAAATAGGATACAAGTGAGACCAAAGTCGAAATGTCGAAGATTCTATCTAGTTATTATTACAAAATCAAAACTACACAACAACTGATCACCGTCTGTACAGTTACATGTTAATTAAGAATGGTATATGACGGAAAAATGTATATGAGAAAATTACCAAAGTGACCCCGAAATAAATATTGTTATAATTTTTGTCTGTTCGTTAAATTGATCTCACAAATGGTTTAATTATTTCGGTATTCAGTCATTCTTGTGATAAGCTTCACTGAATATTATGTGTTTTATAAATTCAATTCAATACAAACAAACAAGTTGTATGGGTACATAGCCGTTTGCTCCGCTTGTTTTATATAGGCATATCTAAATTTCCAATAAATTAATATAATTTATAACGATGATATGCTATGAACACACAAGCAAATTAATATAAACGTTACAATACCTTTCCCTCGTCCTTTACGACGCAGTTCTGCAATCCTCTCTACTTCACTTTCCTCGTCTAAGACCCTTTCTTTCTTTTGTGCGTCCTCGTGTGCTTGTTTCAATAGTGACTCTTCCAGAAAAGTTAGTTCTAAACGACATAATAAAGTAGATAACCAAACAAATGTTAATAGATACAAAGAAAGTTAAAATAATCACTGACATGTCCATAAAAAAAATAATATATTTAGTATTAAAGGACATAGAAATAGAAAAATGTATTGAGTTACTAACTGTCCCGGCAAACATTGTTTTGCCATATAAATTTAAGTATATTGCTATTAAAAGTAGGGATTTGTGGTAAATGGGTGAAAATTTAGGGTTGTATGTATTTTTAAATAATTAATGTCAAATTATAATAAAATAAAATTTAGTCAAAAAAATAAAAATATTCAGTATCATTGATTGGTATGACAAATAGTCGTTGGCCGATTCTCAGACACGTTTAATAAAAATCGGTAATGCTGTTTGGGAGGAGTTTGGTAACAGACACCGCGACACAATAATATTGTATATTAGATTACTCAGTAAATTAAATATAGATATATTATATGAAAAAAATCACGATTTCTAAAATGGCAATTTATTTTTAAATCGTTAATTTTTTTGTTGTTCACATCATACACATATCTTCTCCAAATTAATTTTAATTATCCTACATACAATACAAAAGGACTACCTCTGCATTAGTACTATGTTGAGTTCGAATATTTTAACGCGCAAAAGGCAAAAACATATGAATACAAACTGGCAAGTCTGTGATCCATGCCGATCCAGGGTCCGTTGAAAATACTTCCCGCGGTTGGACGCGCCTTAGCTTCCGGCTCCATTAACAGTGTAACTTGCTGTTTGCACTCCGTTGATAACTGGTTTACAACGGTTGTGCGGAAACGCCATTTGCGCATTACCTAAGGTAAAAATAAAACACGCGCGTGATTGCCGCGCTTAAGATTTACAAAGACTGAACGTAGGTCTGATAAATCTAGCGAGTTAATCTAATGTAAGAAAATCAAAAACAAATCCAATGGGGGGATTCGCCAGATAGGGCACATTGCTAAGATATAGTTGCGTAAGAATAGGAGGGCAAAATACTATGAGCTTCTGGCCGAGTTTCACCTGGTTCGAGAGGCTGTGAGTACAGGTAGAAACTAACATTCATTATTAGTCTAATTTATATAGTTCTATTGTTTTATTATTTTAAAAAACTGTAACCATAAGTTTGTGTAAAGGGAGAGCCACATCTGATGGATTTTAGTCGCGCCCCAGATGGTATAATTACGCCACTACTAGAAAAGTTTGTAAGTTGCGAAAAGGTCTCGCAGTACCCGTTCGTCCAACACGTAAGGCGATCGGATATGTGTTTTCGAATTTACCATCCTTTCTATATATAAAAAATAATACCCAAGATACCTTTGAAAATTCAGTAATTTTTAAGACTATATACAATACATATAGGTACTCCAAGCGTTCCTAGATTCTATCTAAAAATATATAATAACCTGTTTTTCGTATAATCTTTTGACCGATGTTTCGTTGAAAGGAAGTGCTTTATTTAGCATTGTGTACAGAATGATACCAATAGACCACATGTCTGCTAGCTTCGGTAAATATGGCACTCCTTTGAGTACTTCCGGTGCGGCATACGATAGAGACCCGCAGTACGTCTCGCTAAGCACATCTCGATCTCTATGGTGTACATTTCGTGCGAATCCAAAATCAGTTATCTTCACGTTATAATTTGCTGTAATTAATATGTTTTCACATTTCAAATCCCTGTGTGCTATATTCAATGTATGTATGTAGAGAATCCCTGAAAGTATCTGTCTCATCCAAAGTCTACTCTGATTCTCGGGTACTGGTCCGTTTTGCGTCAGAAAATCTAGCAAATCTCCATTCTCGGCAAAACGTAAGAATATAAAATATTTGGCACGTCGCTGAAATATGTTGGACACGTGGATCACGTGTGGATGGTTGATCCGAATGAGTACATCCAGCTCGCGAGGTAAAAACTTCGTAAGATAGTCACGGGGCGCTTGTGCTGTGTCTATTACTTTACACGCCATAATTGTGTGACGTGTCTCGTCAATAATATGTGTTGCTTTGTAAACCTAGAAAATGAGTTGTAAATGTTTTTGTGCTTATGGATTCCAATTCTTAATGGTCAGTTTAAAATTCTGTCCGCAAACTTGTAAATCTACATTACAGGATTTAATAATAATACCTTTATTATATTCACAGTAGACATATATCTTTAGATATGAATACTTTAACACAGGTATTGCATATATAAAAAAGTTGAGACTCTTTATTCGACTTTTATTCCTTTGACAATGTATTACTGACATTGGCTACGTCGATAATGGTTTCTTAGAGATCTACTGGATTAGTCTAGTTTGTGTATATTAAGAAGTATTTACCTTAGCATAAGAGCCTTCGCCTATGATTTTCTCCAGTATAAAACCTTTTTCTTGTAATACAACGAGATCGGACTGTGTAGTGCTAAGGTCTGCCTTATCAGTGGCGTGACCCATTTATGTAGCTTTTTCTTGCATTATTATTTCATTTTTACTCTCGTGGGTACCATAATGATGAAGTAATTATTACTAATTAGTTTTGGAAATTATGGGAAATTCATTGTTTGCGATATTTCTAAATTAAAAGAAATGTGTCATGTGTAATTAGGTTATTTGTCATTAAATATTCGAGACATCTTGTCAGTTTTATTTATTCTTTAAACTTTCGCTTCTAAGGTCTTATCACGTCGACAATATTTTGACTGCTTCGGTGGTCTAGAGGCTAGCGGTTTGCGACGCCCGCCCGCCCTACTTCTAATAGTAGCGGTTTCGAGTCTATGTTATTCTATATTATTTTATGTTATACTATTCTATTCATGAGTATGTTTCTGTGTAAAGGTCTGAATGTTTTGTAATGATCAGCCTATCTTATATTATTACAATAATATTATATAAAGTCTCCGGACTCAGTGTTTGTAGGTATATGAGATTTGATAGTGCAGAAACTTTATATCTATAGGAGACAAGGAATAAACTTTGTTACGGGGTCCTTTTTACTAATATATGCAAGATCCAGTGAGCCTTCAAACACAATTATGTAAAGCGAGTAATAGAAATGTATCTTCAGCTGTATAAATTACAATCAAGTTATTTTTATACTTTTGTTATTGGATAAGGCAATGCAATTTATACTAATCAGTGTACACTTACCAAGAAGACGTCGACCCTGTTCCTGTTACATCACATGTAGGTTTCACTATTGACTCATCAGGTAGACAGGGCGTATCTTTGTCGGTTTTAGATTGATCTAGATTTTCTAACTTATTCTGTAACTGTCTCTTTTCATCTCGAGCCTTTTTATAAGCTATCGTTTCTTGCTGTGTCCACTCTGCAATGTTTGAATATTTTTTTAGTAATTTGATGTTATTATAGTGATAACCCACAGACGACCGTCAATTTGAATAATTTAAATCTTATTACCTACCTAATAATCTAGAATCCATAGCAATCCATTCGCTGTTTATTATCTGATCAATCTTAATTCGGTTCTGATGATGAGGTTCCAACATTTGCATTAAGAGTCGTTTACAGTTGTCAGATGTGCTGTCAACATATCGTGATCGAAATTTCCAATTCCTACTTATTTGTGCTTGATACAACTGTTTTATATGTTTGTCTTCAAATGGCATCGCTCTATTTAGCATTACATATAGGACTATACCTAAAGACCACACGTCTGTAGGTTTAGGGAAATATGGTGCGCCCTGCAAGATCTCAGGAGCAGTGTACGACAATGAACCACAAAAGGTTTCGCTATGAATATCTTTTAATTTCTTATCTACGCACATTCGGGCGAAACCAAAGTCAGACAATTTAGCATTTTGGTTTGCTGTGAGGAGTATATTCTCGCATTTAATATCTCTATGCGCTATTTCCAATTCATGCATATACTGAATTGCTAAAGCTAGTTGCCGTGTCCATATCCTCGCTTGATCTTCTTGTACTGCACCTTTCTGTAATATGTATTCTAACAAGTCTCCATGCTCCATATACCTCATAAAAATAAAGTATTTATACTTTCTTTGGAATATGCTGTGCGTGTGTACCAAATGTGGATGGTTTAACTTGATTAACATATCTATTTCCCTTGGAAGAAATTTCTTAACAAAATCTTTCGGTGCTGTATTCGTGTCGATGACTTTGCAAGCGAGAATAGATAATTTGTCGTTTTTATTGGGATTTCTGTATTCCGCTAAATATACCTGTTTATTGATTAGAATAATCATTAGGTAAACAAAAACATTTAATAAGAACTAAATAGATTATTAGAATGCATATAATTGTACCATAGGTATACTTAACCTTAGCGTAAGACCCTTCATTAACTTTCTTTAATATTTTGTATCCGCGTATAGCAAGTGTTAACTGTTCAGACGCGGTTAGTTTCAAGTCATCTTCAATGTGAAACTAGAAGTAGAAATAAGTGAGTAATATTGGAAATTTTCTGTTATTAAAAAAAATATGGAATGCTCTATAATTATACCTTAGTCTTTCCCTCCATTTATTCAATTTTCTTTTGTTTAGATGTTACGTTAGCAAGTGATTTCATCATTTCACTTGTCTGTTGAACAACACATTAATAGATATAAATACAAGGTTATAAGGTCCGTAAATGTATTTAAAAATATTATGAAGCTCTTTTAACTTTAAAGATTTACCCTGTATACGGAATTGCTGTGAGGGCCTTCTAAAATATCTCCTTGTCTCTTGGGAGGTTGTCTATGAGATTCAGATAATCTTCGACGTTCTTCTTTTGCCCGTTTGAGTGCGCCTGCTTCAACTGCGTTTAGGGCTACCGAAAAATAAAAGACATTTCTTTACGATTGGTACTTAATTAATTTTAGTAAAATGTATTTTCATTCTGTCCCACTTACTAGTTAGCCTACTGTCCATAGCAATCCACTCAGAATTGATAATTTGAGTGGCGGTATATCGTAAACCAGAATCCGGTTCTAACATGTGCTTCACAATAGATTTGCATTCCAAAGAGAGAACGCTTGCAACGCGGGATCGAAATCTGTACTTTTTTCCTATCTGCTGTTCGTACAATTTTCGCATTCGCGTGTCATCAAACGGCATAGACTTGTTCAACATCACAAAAAGTACGACGCCAAGAGACCAGATATCTGTCGGTTTGGGGAAGTATGGCTTGCCTCGGAGAATTTCAGGCGCAGCATATGACATGGAACCGCAGTATGTTTCGCTTAGAATCGGTTGCTCATCTTCGTTAATACAGAACCTCGTGAAGCCGAAGTCAGATATTTTGACGTTGTAATTCGCAGTCAAAAGAACGTTTTCACATTTTATATCTCTGTGTGTTATTTCTAACTCGTGAAGATATTGAATTCCGAGAGCCAATTGCCTCAGCCACACTCGGGACTGGTTTTCAGAGACACATCCGTTTTTCAAAATATATCCCAAAAGGTCCCCATTTTCACTGAATCTCATGAAAATGTAATATTTCGTTTTTCTTTGAAATATGCTGTGTATGTGTATTAAATGTGGGTGGTTAAGGCGTATAAGAACGTCTATTTCACGAGGTAAGAATTTGGCAACGAAGTCCTTAGGAGCTTTGGATGTTTCGATAATCTTGCAGGCGAGTGTCGCTTTGTGAGATTCGTCTTTTCCAGTATATTCAGTCAAATATACCTACAGAAGTATTTAAATTATATAATTACCTATATTGTCTTAAATATCAACATATCGATATAAACTCGGCACTGTCATACGTTATATGCACATCATAAAGAATATCATAATGATACTGAGCTACCTACTTGTTTGAATTAGTCTACAAACAAGAATAACACAATAGACTTCAACTATAATGTTGATTACGGATTTTCCACCAGTTGCAGAAATTTAATAAAATTTCACAAGCTGAAGTGAAATGTAATGCGTGCATACAATTCAGATATATATGTGTATTAAAATACCTTTGCATAAGCTCCTTCTCCAAGAAACTTTTGTAACTTATATCCTTTCGAAGACAAAGTATTTTCTTCAGATACAGTAATTTTCAACTCGGTCATGATACAAAAGCGAGGTTAAGCGTTGAGCATTCTGTCCTACAACCGCATCTCCCGACCGCACTCCCTGGATCACTTCTCCGAACAATCATATATAAAGGTAATGTAGGCATTTTTATGTTTTTGTTACTTTTTATTACTAAAATTTTGCATTACATTTTGTAAGTGTGAGATACGGCTAGTTTGTATTGATGGCAGGTGGTAAGTGATAGGTGACATAAGAATCACAATGTCATTCTATAAAAATCTCCTCTAGTGAAAGAGTTTATTTCAGAATATGAGATGTAAATGCCCACCATTTGCATGTTACTTGTTTGTTTATTGCTCAATCGAATGTAAATAAGACATTAAGGTATAAGGGTTTAATTGAAATTCAATATATTGTAATAATATAAATATTGGCTATAGAATAATCAAGAAGTATTTACTTTTATTTACTAATCACGACACAGAAACAAGTATAAGTAAGAAGTGTGTATAAGGGTAGGGACGAGTTTTTGAACTTCTTTACCGTTAATGTTTAGTCATTATTGTCCTATCCCATTATTTAGGGTCGGGCTGTGTATCACCTTTTTCCCATTGTTCCCTGTCGGCCGTCCTATCTGAGATTATATCATACGCATATAGCGCATCATACTTTCGCTCGTCCTTTTCCTTTTCATCCATCCACATTCACATTAAATACTTTCTTAACGACACGGTACTCGGAGGAGCGAGTACCATGTCTTTAAGCATTACCTGTCAGACCAAAATAAAATGTTACCTCGCATTTTCTTTCTAGTATATTGTGCACAGTCTTAAAAGGTCGTCGGCTGATGTTTTCACAGAACAACTTTTAGTATAGACAGTTACACTTGTTGTTTTAAAATATAATAGAACTTATTAAATAATACTCACATATACATATTAATAACTCGTTATTATTTTAATAACATTATTACAATTTTTACAATTACTAAATGTACAATATAAATTATCACATTTAACTTCAAATTCAATGTTGTGTAATGATTACTGATTTGATAATGACCCCATCGTTTTTCTCTATAATGAATTATAAATTATCTACACAATCATTTACACTTACTGTTATAAATATATTGAGAAATATAGTCCGTTTAGTTATCTTATATTATTTATTTGGTACCCCCAAATATGTACATGTTTTTTCTAATACCAAAGTAGCACCATAGTCTATATTATGTTCTATTATAAATATAATACAATCACATTTCTAGTTGCTTTTTATTTAAAAATTCACCTGCAATAGATATTCTTTGTAGAAACGATGGTGCAGGAGTTAAGAGATATTTGTATTCATTAACATCAGGATGATCGGGATACCGTTTCTCCTTACGGATCCGTTCTAGCATATGTTGAGGTTCACATTTCGGTTTCTGTTTCCAATCACTACTTAAAAAATCTTGTATCACTTTTGGCAATAATTTATATACTTCCTTCGCTTTGGTAACACTAGGAGGCTGTATACTTACAGTTTCTTGTAATTTTTGGGGAATTATTATATCATCAACTTCTACATCTGTCTCATCATCTAATTCATCTTCGGATGTTATATTGTCTATAGGAGAATCTAATTCTTTGGTCTCGCTATTTATATTAGTTGTGTTATTATAATAACTAATTATGTGCTCTTTAACAATATCTCTTATGCTAGATTCATTTTTACTTTTTTCCCTTTCTGTGCCATCTATATTGACATAGCCAGTTCTTGTTTCGGTCTTTATTAAGACTTGATTTTGATCAATTTTGTTTTCACTACTTTGGACACTGTCAACTGTATTATTGACTTCATTTGGTATACTTTGAGATTTACTTTCTGCATCTCCAGTGGCGTTTATTTTTATAGTCCCTTCCATCATTGTTAGGAACTGAATGTTGTCTTCTTCTTCTAAAATTTGATATATTCTATGTATCTCGCTGATATTTATTCTGAAAAGCAAGAAGTGACCATATCAATGAGTTTATTCATTCCTTTTGGAGCTTAACGGTTCAATTTCAAATATTTAAAATTTCTATGTCTATAAATTAATAATAATAATGTCACTTGGCCAACAAACTATTGACTAAGAACATAGCAAATAAATTAATTTCAATTGATCATTATGAAATTTGCTATATACTAGTATTTATTACAGATAAGGATATACGCTACTCCTTATTCTGTTTATTTAATGTGACTGGCTTATTTTATGTAATTGGAATGGCAAACAAACTTCATTGTAAGAAGTTACCGTCGCACAATGGGTCGAAAATGAAAATAAAGGGAAATAGCTTTTTTTCAAATGGTGTTTAAATAAATATGCTACTCGATAGGGTTCATTTTCCTCATTTGAAGCTGTTATATACAATTTTTTTCATATAAGTAATATTTGGACCATAAAAAATATTTTCTCTTTTTCTTGTATGATGAAATGCTCAATTTCATTAAAATTTTGGTTGATCCCGCTTTGAAATGACTTTAATTGTAATCAATAGCTGTTCTTCTGTGATTTCATACCACGAACGCATGCAGAGTTATGTGTGTAGTACGTATAATGTTGCACCAAAGAAGTTAAATGTATTAATAAATGCAACAAAAATGTTTCGTAGACTATATTTGTACAAAATTGGCTAATATAGACCGGAATAGACAACAATAAATCAATGTTTATGTTTTTGTTTTAGTTAAATAATTTGGTCGTGTATCATGGGATTAATTAAATGAACAAATAAAATTCCGCAATTAAAACATGAAATGCATCAATATTTGTCTATTCTGCTCTATACTAGCCATTATATTATTATAATTTCAAAATTTAAAAATAATAAAGTGCAATGTAAACTTTTTTTTTTTTTTTTTAGATCTTCTTTTTTTTCTCTTTATTATTTTTTTTTTTTTTTTTTTTTTCTCTTTATTATTCAAATAACGGAACTAATTATATTAAAACAATAAGCCGCAAAACTGCTCAGCAGTTTGTCTGCAGCAAAAGCGCTTAACTTAATACTTATTTCTAATCTATATATACACACACATACATTCACATAAACACAATCCTGTAGAACCAGGTATCTTATTCCATACAATGTTTGTTTACAAAAAAGTTAAATAATTTCTTTTTGAATAATTTTTTGGATACATTATCTAATGATCTTATATTTTTTGGTAACATATTATAATATTTTGGAACTAGATATTTTCTAGTTCTTGATCCGTAATAATTACAGACCTTAGGTACAATGTATTCTTTATTGTTAACTTTACGTGTAGTAATTTTATGAACAACATGATTTTTAAATTTATTATTTTTAAAATGCTCTATTAATATTAATAATTTATTTTTATTTTTTATATCTAATAATCTGCATATTCTAAACAACTCAATGTACCTATTTTGCTTACATTTATGTCTCTTATTTTTATCAACTAGTAGCTTCATAAATCTTATTTGTAAGTCCTTAATTTGATTAAGATTTGTGTCAAAGGTACAACCGTAACTACCCAAACCATAAGATAATACGGAATCTATTAGCGCATGATATATTATATATAACGTTTTTCGGTTAACTGCAAAACTTAGTTGATGGAATTTTGCCAACATTGATCTTAATTTAGCACAAACATTATTTACATGTAATCGCCATGACATGCTCTCGTCAATTATAAGACCAAGGTACTTATAGTGAGAAACAAATTCTATCTGAGGGCAGCTACAGTCGTTACCTTCAACATGTAAACAATTGTAACTATGTCCTATAATGTTAAATGTACAATCTTCTAATTTAAGGTACGGGGAACGCAAATGCATACATTTAGTTTTATTTAGGTTTATAATTATACCATTATCATGTGCCCATTTTATAACATTTGTTAAGTCAGTTTGGATATTTTTCTGTATGTCAGCAGGGTCTCTTCCAGCATACAGCAAACATGTATCATCCGCATACATGATCATTTTACATTTCTTAACTACATTACACAAACTATTGACATGCATTATATACCCTATTGGTCCATAGACTGATCCAGTAGGGACACCATACAGTATATCAGACTCATCTCCAGTGATACCGCATATATGCGTTTTTAGTTTTCTTTGGTTCATATAACATTTTAGCCACTGATTAATGGGACCTCTTATTCCACATTCTGCCATAGCCTGTAACAACTGTTCATGATTTAATGTATCAAAGGCTTTTTTAAAATCAATAAAAACGGCTACTACACTCTGTTTTTGATCAAGACAATTGTTTACATGGTCGGTGAACTCATTAAGGGCTGTCGCAGTACTGCGTCCTCGCCTGAAACCATGTTGTGTATCCGATAATACAGCATGGCTCTCTAAAAAATTTGTAATTTGCGTCACAATTACTTTTTCTGTTATTTTATTAATTATAGAAAGGATAGCAATTGGCCTATAGTTTGTGTACTCGTAGTGACTACCATGTTTATATAGGGGCCTTATTACTGATGTTTTTAATAAATCGGGATAACAACTTTGCGCCACACTCATGTTAATAAAATGAGCTATGACTGGACTAATTTGTTTTTTAATATATTTTATATCTGTCACTCTAATTTTATCTGCACCCGGGGCTTTGTTAGGGCTTACTTTATCTATTATTTTTTCTATATCATATGCAGTTACTTTCCTATACCTCATAGACATATTAGACTCCTCTACATATATATTTCTATCTATAAATTTATCATTACAGTTATGTTTTATGTTATGTATTTCATTAGTAAACGTTTTTGAAAAATTTGAACTTATGTTTTGAATTGTTTCTTTCTTACCCAAATATTTCTTAATAACATTGTCTATGTTCCCCTTTTTTCTACCCAGCCAATTATTAATATTTTCCCAAATTTTTCTTACATCATTTTCACATTTTTTTAATTCATTCTGTCTGTACATATTAAAACATTTATTTATACATTTGTTTACTTTATTTCTATATTTTGTGTATTCTAATTTACTAGTAATATTTTTTGGATTATTCTTTGACTTTCTAAATAATTGATCTCTCCTATCTATCATATGTAATATTTTACTGTTTATCCATGGTTGCCTGTATCTAGATTTCTGAGTATTAGATTGGTATTCACAACTGGCATATATCTCACTAAACAATGTACTTAATCTATGATATAATAACAAGGGACACTCACACAATAAGAACTCCCGCCAGTCCACTGCATCCAATTTATCACAAACCTTTTTATTATTTATTTTAATCACTTTCTCGTCGACCTGCTTAGAGCATGCCATGTAATCACTTATATCAATAGACAATCCCACCAAGTAGTGATCGGAAATGTTCGCTGTGAGTATGTGAGAAGCAGGAACAGTTTGCCGCGTACGCACCCACACATGATCGATACACGACGCAGACACACTGCCATCGAAGCGATGCTCCTCACGAGTAATTCCATTTATTGTGCATTGCAATCCATGCCCATACATAATATTTTGATACCGTTTCGCCAACATACCAAGATCATTTATTTCAATATTTATGTTTGCATCTCCAATTAATATTATGTCGCTCCTACGAGGTATACATTTTATCAAATTATTTAACTCGCCAGTAAATCCCATTCTATTAGTGTGTGGTGGTCTATACATAACTAATAAATATATGTTTAAATAGTTCTCTAATATTAATTTGCCTTGAACGTATTCTCCATATTTTCCTTTAATGACATTAGTTGTGAAATTATATTTCTTTTTCACATACACCAATATTCCTCCTCCTCGTCTTGTTTCTCTTGTGTTCCAATACATATCATATTCAGGCAATGTATACAATGGCAATTCATCCTGTGTTATGTTGATTTCTGAAAGTGTGATTATATCGAGACATGGCCGGCATCTTTCGATATATATTAAAAATTGCTTGAAATTTTTTCTTAATGATCGTATATTTAAATGTATTACATTAAGACATTTATTATGTCCGTTTATATAAGTATTCCATTTGGCAACATCCGAGTATTTCACACATTCAATTTCTGTAGGTAAATCAAATGATGGTGTGAATTGTATAATATAAGGATGTCAACACATTTGTTTACACTTAATGTATTGAAAAATCTCAAGGCATGTTTGGTTGATCATGACACTTTTTTAACTGATTTATATCACTATCCGATCGTACAGTATATATTTTATGACCTTCTAATTTGCGGACGAGTATATTCCCATTAATTATCCATATGTATTTATAAATTTGTCTTAATTCACTTCTTGCCTTCCACAATAATTCACGTTTGGATTTTGTGAGGTGTTCATTTATGTAAATTCGCTTTTCATTTTGGTTGTTATATACATCACTGTTCTGTAAATTATTATGCTTTCTTACTTCCAACCACTTATCATCTGTATTCTGGATGTCATTGTTACAATAATTGCTCGCGGTTTTTGCTGGTTAGGTTTTTTAACGCCCATTCGTCTTGCCTCCACAATGTTTTCTGTGGGTAGATTTAACTTATTAGCCAATTTATTCACTACTGATTTTACATTTTCGTTCTCCAATTCCTCCACACCCACAATTTCAATATCCTTCTCCTTGCTTTTTTGTTCAATTAATATAACCCGTTCCTCCAGTGCCTGATTGCATCGTTCTAGGTGGACATTTTTTTGTTCCAGCGAGATAATTTTTTTCTCCATTTTATCTTTGTTTTCTACTAATTCTTGATATTTTTCTGCATAAAAATCCACAGATTCCGACAGATCATTGATAGTTTTTTGCATATTGTATAGAATTTCTAGTTTTTCATTAATTTCCAGAAGAACCTCTTCAGTTGATTTTTGAGGGTCGATGTTAATTTTTGGTGAGCATATTGATAAATTTTTCGTTGATTTTGTTCCAATTTTTCTAAGATTTTTACTCATTGTTATTAAGTATTTAAATCACACAAAAGTAACTAACTTTTATAAACAAATACTAAGGAATATATTATTTATGCGTACAGTCTGCGCAAGCGCTGACGCCCGACTGGATATACTTTATAATACTATATGGTGGCAAACAAGTAAACTTACCCATCCCTCGCTTCATGGCAACAATATAACATAGTGGGGTCAATGGGATGTGCTTCAGTGTTGAAGATATAACCACCGACATCGACTATACACTCGCCGTTAGGCGTGTTGATGACGGTGCCACTGATACCAGGATTGTGTATAAAGTTGTCAGGGTCAAACAGCAAGTATAGATACTTAGTTGTTTCTGAAAGGAAGAATGACTCCATACGGTCCTCTTTACGGTGATCTCGCACGTCCTTGATCTAGAGATAAGAAATAAATTAAAGATAACAATAAATAGGCCTGAGAGTTTTCTATATATAGGATGTATGTATTTACAAAAAAAAATGTAACTAACTATTCTATCAATTGTCAAGTACCCATAACACAAGCTCTGGTTAGTTTAGGACTAGATGGCGTTGTGCGTACTTTCCAGTGATATTATATAATTACATTACATTTTGCGAATAAGTCTAAATACATACCGTAGCATAACCACATTGCGTCCTGGCGCTATGTTGTATGCTCCTGAGAATATCCTCGCCCATCTGCAGCAATATTGGGTCCCTTGTCTCACGGTACAAGTACATGATTGACTCGATCAGCTCGGGCCGAAGTGGGTAGCTCTCACGGGAAGACGACGCTTCTCCTGTTCCAAGGTTGTATACTTCAGGAGTAAATCCATACTGTCGCCAAACGCTGTGATAGTTGTGTATTATACGCATCGCAGTGTCAGTGTCACCTGGTTGGTAAATATATATATTGTTTATATCACAGTAAAAAAAAATCTTTACTAATAAAATAGAATAACATTTATTACATCACACATCACAACACAACAATAACGATACTGACAGCAGCATATAAATTATTATATTAAATAAACGTAAATAAAACCATGTATTAAATAAGACATGAAATCATTATACTTATAAAAATAAAAGAACTATAGAAAAACAAATAAAAAACCAATACTAAATGCATTTCTCATCTACCACTGTGGAGCATCATCACCACTTCACTGTATACTGATGTGTGTGTAAGGAGCCCATCTCAGAATTATGCCATGACTAAAGCTACGACGCTGATTTCCAGTAGAACCCCAAATAAGTGACTTTATTGTAATAACCAAAGAATGTCATATACAAATGTTATAAAAAATAACGAGCCCATGCCCAAACTAAAATTATTAGTGTCAGAGAAACAAAAAAACACATATAAACTTTTTATGCAATTGTCTAATGTTCTTACAAGAAGTTTTAACTTTTATCAGTCTACACAGCCAAAAATCAATGTATTAATGATATGGTTGCCTTATCTGGTACAAGATAAACAGGAAGATCAGTGTATTCATTATTAAGAAATAAATATTTTTATAGAAACAATATTTTTAATCACCAATAAGGCTCAACAACCCTGGCCAGTAGGACTCCAGTGACTGGAACACCGGCAGTGTGACGTGTCCGCGCAGCATAGTTGCCCACACATACCAGTCGTCTTTCTTCAAATATTTGTCTATGGCTTGCCGTGCCTCACGGAACATAGACATCAGCTCTGGCTTTTCTAGTAAAATTGCCCCTAAAATTAAGAATATTATTAAGGGTTATATGAAATCTATAGTTAATTTTATTATTGAAGTCTTATCCATCTAATGGACGAAAGTACTGACATATTTTTTGTTTCTCATGCTCTATTCTTTATTTGAAAGAAAATTACAGCAGAATATACTAATTTACATACATTTACTGGTTTTTTTTATGAAATGATTTGTGTGTTGATTTGTTATCCCACTGTACTTTTATTCTTGTTAATAAAAATGTTATATTTTTCTAGAACTTTAAGATGTAGTTTTAATGTAGAATCAAAATACCTTTAACTAAGTATTCAAAGTAGGAATCAACACCGCCGCCAATGCCAGCATCTTGCGCGGTCCATCGCCCAGTCATAACATCAATGTGGTTGCCAACGAGACCAATCGGAGATTTATGATGGTAGAGAGCTTTTAATGCATTGTAAGCAACCTGAAATCAATTTCAATATATAGATTTATATTACCAATTTCAGTAAAACTAAGTCTCACATCAACTAATTTAGGATAGGTAGGACTGTATGTTCTTAAAAAACATAAATCACTAAATTAGTAATAATGAGTAGTACCATTATTTTTTTTATACTATCAATACTTACAGATATATACAAGCATTCTCACCTCTTCAAATAATGGATCACCAGTGAGACGACTCAATGTCCCAAACTCAATTATGAAGGTACCAACACCAGCAGTGCATGTGACTGTAGTCTCTCCTGGGGGTACACCAGACCTCAAATTGATGGTACCATATGGCATACCAGTAGTAGTGTCAAAAGCAGCAATAAGTCTTTGTGCTACATCTTCAGCCAGTCGGAGGAGAGGTCCATTGCAGGGCCAACCTGGTTCAAGTTTCATACCAGTTCTGTAAATATATTTCACTCATAACAAAAATATATGGTTGTAGTAGTAACTAATACTATGCAAAAATGCTACATTTAAAAATAAAATCTCATTAAAGTATACTATATGAATATGCTAATACAATCATCTAAAACACTGTTCAAAGGATTTTGATGTAAGTGTTATTTAGATTTGTATCATTTCTACTTTAAGTTTAACAGTGTTTACAAAATCAGAAATGTGAGAATTACCATTCCGCTCATTTACTCATGCATAATTAGAAATTATTTAGTCCAGATAGCAAATCAGTTGAGTTCTCTTTAAATCCATAACATTGTCTGTCTGTGATGTCATTAAAGGAAGAATGTAGGTTATATATCCCTGCTTTATGTAATAAACATAGCTTTTAAAATTACATAGTTTTAATAGAAGCCATTAGAATCAGTCTCTCTATATGATTTATTATTTATAATTACTAAGTATAATTTATACCACTTACTTGTGTGACAGTAAATGTGCACTAAGCAATCCACCAATTATCCTTATATTAGTTTCAAACACAGATACATTAATATCAGCATCAAAGTTTTGTTTTTGTAGAACAATATCTACAACTCTATTGAACTCTGTATAATTACCCATAATTGCGAGGGTATCTAAGGCATCAATAAGGGTCAGCGAGTAACTCCCCCAAGTGTCCACACCATCACAACTCAATGGTCTTAACTCATCATATGGATATGCATATTTTAGATAACCATCATATGCATGTTGAAACATCTCCCTTACCTCTTCTCTGTAAATTTTAATATAAATATTTTTATAATTATTTGCAAAAAATATAAACCGGTTGTAATATAATTAAGGAATTATATTAAAATTTATACAATCCATAGTGCAGATTTTATATATTTAACATCAAAAGCTATATGACTGTAATATAAAAAATGTTCTGCTCTCTATAAATTTTCAATCTCATCTTTCTTGTAGGCAGGCCTTAACAGGGTTTAGAGGCAAGTCAGCCATAGAATGGATAGCACAAAAAGGTTCTTAGTGGAAAGGCCCCTGAACCATTCTTACAGTGTACTGCAAAAGTGATTAATGTGTAATTTTGTCCTATTTTCAATGCTCTGCCATTTTATTCATCATGTTTTGCTATCTTATGTTGCCTGTTTTGGCATTACCTAGTAGCAAGACTTGAAGGTTGGTATCTTTCGGAGCCGTTACAGTGCAGTGACTAAATTTTGGACTGCAAATTCTTTACTACTCATCGTCACGCAGAGTTATAAATGGGACTTAACTGCTGGACAGACTGTTATACTATATATGAGCTATAATACTAAGCTAAGTATATTTCCGTAGCTCCAATTATCTCCTTTGTCTGTCCAAAAAGGATGAAACTCGCTATCAAAATAGTAAACAATACCTGAGTCGAAATACATCTTCTTTTTTATATTCTCGGATACCAGTACTGAGGTTTATAAAGTAGCAAGTAATTAAGTATAATATTGTTATCGCATTCATATTTATTACATTTAAATTTATTGAAAAAAACAATAACTATATTAAAATTTAAGAAACATATTGAAAAATGTAAATAAAATTTATCTGCAACACGGCCAACACGCAGTCATTGCAACGGTGCAATCTGTCACATCTATCTACCACAGTTCATAATTAATAATTCTTATTTCTGTTGTCAAATTGCGTGTTAAAAACAGCTGTTTCTAAAATCGTAACATTTATGCAAAGCTCGGCGAGATAGCGCCACCGTGTTATAACGCACATTGAACAATACATCCTACCATAAATTAGAGAGTTTATCATTCTAACAATTGGTTGGTTCAAATTTAAAATAACATAGACTATAGAATAACGTAAACTTTAACTGCTGAAATCAACCAACATCATCAAAATGTTTCTCGTCCGTTGATGCTATATTAGTTAGCTGGTTATTTTGAGGGTGGTTTAGCTTTAATAATTTGTAATCTACTCCAAAAGTTTATAATAAAATGTGTTAGTAACTCGAAACTACGTGTATTTCCGCTTCGGTTGCCATTAATGCAGCCGCGTTTAAACCAAATTGCTATTTTCTATTGTTTACGGAAATAAACGAGAACAATGGCATTTAGAATTCACGAAGATCAGGAAAATACTTCCTTAGGCCTCAGGAAAGCAGATGCAGATGTATTTTCAAGTACTAACCAGCGGCGTGCTCTAGGCAATATCAACCACTTCGCCTGCAATCAGAACCGGAATACAAAACTCGTAAGTTATTTGCTTTATTGTATGTATATATTTTAGTTCTTATAACCTAAAACGAACCAGAAATTCTAATATTTCGTTACATTAAAACCATATATTTGTTAATCGTTATTGTTAACGTACTTCTGCCACCTGTTGAATTGCACTTTTACAAACAATTCACATCTGTACTGTTCGTGGAAACTTCTTTTAGCCCGGGTTGACAAATGGACCTTGTAAAGTTCAAGATGAAAACAGGATGGTGCGCCAAATCAAGAATGAGAAGAATATTATCCTTCCAGTGGCACAGTTTCGTGCGTTTAGTGTATATGAAGACAAACCAAATGAGGTGGAGGTAAAGAAACGTGAACCAACCTTCAAACCTTTTGTCGCTAAAGATTTAAAGAAGGAGAACTTGTTTGTGAACACTATAGAGAATGTGAAGAATGCTCAGGTGGAGAAGAAACAAGATCCCCTTAAAGAAGCACATTCACTAAGGTTAACTTTTAATTTTTATGCTCGTAACAAATTAATCTACCTACACAAATTACCAATAAAATTTGCATACTAAAGTTGTGGGGGTACCCTCTTGTATCATTATAATGAACACAGTATTCAAAATTGCAATGCTATGATGTACATACTATTTTAAAGTAATATAAGCATTCAATCTATTACTATACCTACCATAAACTAAACTTAATACACACTCTGTTGCTGACTTAGCTTGCAGACTATTCCTTTTGTAATTTTTATATTATTTATGTTATCATAACCATGCTTCTGTTCTGTATCTCTAGACTTCCATTACAAGAAAAGAAAGATGTTGTTGTATCGCCTATGTCAGTTATTGATACAAGTGTGCTGTCTATGTCTATCTCTAAAAATGAGAGCCTTAGTGAGACACTCAATGATGATGACGCCACAACTGCTCAGACCAATAGAGAAATGTTCTTCCATGTTGTGGATTATCGCCAGGATATATATGACTATATGAGGGAACTTGAGGTTATTATTTAATTTTATTAATAACTCTAATTTAGAACTGTATAATATAGAAAGAGTATTTGTTCTTTATTTTTTTAGTTGCTATGATTACTTATACAACTATAAAAATCTTTTGTGACAAAATGACAAGTACCTAAATATTTAACTTCTAATTAGGTAAAAAATAGAGCCAATCCACGATACATGCGGAAGCAGCCTGATATTACTCAAATGATGCGTTCAATCCTCATTGACTGGCTAGTAGAAGTCTGTGATGAGTACAATCAGCAAAGTGAGACACTACACCTTGCTGTCTCATATGTGGACCGCTTCCTCTCATATATGAGTGTTGTTCGTACTAAATTGCAACTAGTCGGAACTGCTGCTACTTACATAGCTGCGTAAGTAATACTTATACTAATTATATTTTTATTACTCTTACAGATGATAAGTTGACTTGAGTTAGTACATACAATAAGAATTAGTATTAGAGGTTACTAATTTCTAGGACTAGAGCACTCACTTTAGTTTAGAATGTCCCTCAGAAGTTGACAACGAGTAGATTGTTTAAATACCAAACTATTTTGCTGTTACCTTGGTCTGTTCAGTCATATTTTTTAGCACAAAATAAATATAGGTATTGTATTGTATATTATATATTATTATTATTATTAACATCATAATCATAAATTCTGACAGGTTAGGTTAGTTGACGTCATGTTCATTTTGTGATCATCCACTGGTGGGCACCAAAAAAATGTGTATTTCTTATATTTGTTTGTAATGTTTTAATGATTTGTACAGTAAATATGAAGAAGTGTATCCACCAGAGGTGTCTGAATTTGTGTACATCACAGATGATACATATACAAAGCGTGAAGTTTTGAGAATGGAGCACCTAATTCTGAAAGTATTGTCATTTGACCTTTCTACACCAACCTCGCTGGCATTCCTGTCACATTACTGCATATCTAATGGACTATCCAAGAAGACTTTCCATTTGGCCGCTGTTAGTATTTTATTATATTTTTTAAATTTTTTTTATTAATTGAAAATAATAATATGCATATAAATAGACTATATTTTGTGAACATTTGATGAGATGTCCTTTTTATTACATTATATTTACTAGTTTTGAAAATTTAAATATCTCTTTATATTTTAAATATATCATGTAAGTTTCCATAGCTTGCTTCTATTCGCTTGGAGTTTCCTTTTATCACATCACATAATCACATTCCACTATTGTATCAATATTAATAATGGTCATTATTATTTAATTTTATGGAAATTATACCTTACTCTAATTATTCGCAGTACCTGAGTGAACTGTGCCTGTTGGAGGCAGACCCATACTTGCAGTTTAAGCCGTCTATCATCGCAGCAAGCGCTTTAGCCACTGCTCGCCATTGCCTCCTATGCGAAAGATGCACCTCAGATGAAACTGACTCACTTGCCACTAGCGATAATAGTCTAATCATTAGTAAAGGTACATAATAATTTGTGTAATGAAAATTAATAGCTATGGCTTTTAGTTTACTAAGGTAATGTACTTCATTTCAGAAAAAAATATCTCTTGATGGTCATTCCTATTCTTCTCTTTTAAATATAAAAAATTACAGGACATCCTATTGTTAAAAAAAATGAAGCAGAGGTGTCACTGTTCAAAAATTTGATAATATTGAATCGACAACTTAGTTTTTTTCTTAATTTCTCCTTAAAATTCTTCACAAATTTATTATCATTCCATTGGTCAAAATTAATATATCAACTCAATGTTATGTGTTCTAACATATGTATATGTTTGTTTTTTTTAGTTGTTGGTAGTGTTAATAATGAACTAGAAGGTAGTCGTGCGCGCGCAAGTTGCATGGCCACAGCATGGCCGGTGGCGCTAGCGGCGTGCTCCGGCTACTCCCGTGCTGACTTGGAGCCCTGCATGCGTGAGTTGGCACGCACGCACGCCCATGTAGCGCTGCAGCCATACCAAGCGATACCCGACAAGTACAAGAGCAATAAGTTAGTTACCACTTTTATTGCTTTTAATTTAGGTTTTTATTTGCATTCATGTTTTATCTCACCTTACTCTTCAAGCCTTCTTCTCTCAAGCTAGATTTCCCGCCCAATACAAAAATGTATATTTACAAGTATGAAAGTATTTGTCACTGTGTTTTCTGTATACATTGTGTATCTAATCACTAAAATTATTAGTTTTCTTGTTTAGTACCCACAATTCAAGGTTTTCTTAGTTTCGGACTAAGTGACAGTTTGTGACATGTTCCTAGTTATTTACTTATAATAATAATCTTATTAACTAATAATATTAACAAAGCCACATGATCACGCCTATGTTCCCTGGTCCTACACTATTGCCAATAGGAAGGACACGTCGTCACACGTCACACACATGTCAATTAATTCAATTCAATGACTTATTTGGATGTTACGTAATATTTTCGTTAACATGATTTTTTGCTCTTGTAGTTGGTTTATTTTTTATGGTATTGTGTTATTTCTACAATATAATAATATTGGTTAATCATACTTGACTTTATGTTGTGATACAAAATTTTAAATTAATATTCCTTTTTGTAGATATGACGGTGTGTCTACCATCGAGCCGCGGTCCATGTTCCCGGTGCCGAAATACCAGCCACCTGCCAACCACGCTGCACGCACTGCTTCGGAAACAACACGCACCAGCTAGTAGTCTACCGTATGGTTTGACACAACTATTATTGAACCTTCGCCGCATTTATAACATTAATATCTTTTCATAGACGCCTAATAACGTTTACAAGACTTGAAATATCTATATACAAAAAAAGATTAGGTTATTATTATTTCGGTATATAAGAGGCTGCAATTATTTACATCTTATTGCTGCATTTTAACAGAATTTCATATTTCATAGCGGAAGGGTTTTTACTAGGTCTTATCATATATGAATGATATGAATGCTTATCGTGTTAGTTTTGTTCCATTTGCTTTAAAGAAACTACCTTTTCTGGGGACAATACTTGAAACTTCAAATGCTTTACAATTCCTACGGATTTGAGAATTAATTTAAATAGAAATAAATTATGAGACAATAGTAATTATATTATATTGTTAATGTTATAAATAATTTGCATTTACTTATAATAATTTCAATAATATAAATAATTCAATTAAGTACAATTAATTATCTTGTAGGTTTTGTGAAGCTAGAATATTGTGTGAGTTGTTATATTAGTTTTTAATAGTTTCCAATGGAAATAAAAATAATCTTCGACCTCTGTTTGTTTGTGTTTATAGTTATTTGTATTCAATATTTTTACCTTAACATGTAACTTGTACGACAACAATGCAATATTAATCGAAATCTGATATGTACAGATACTAACAATCAATAATACTATTATTATATAGGACTTTCCAAAGAACACAGGGCATGTACAATTACAAATATAGAAGTCTTTAATTACATTTACATATACATTCAATTATTATCTTATTATCAACGATTTAGTTTAGTAAATATTGTACAGATTATTAATTTACTGTCCTGCATTATTTTTATATATGTATATAACTCCGGCTGTGTTCAATTCGTCTTAATGAAATTCGTTTTGTGCCTTACGAATTCACTAACACTGGAACACAATCTCTATTGATAGTGTAATAAGTAGGTAATATTTTGATCGTACATAAAGGGACCAAGTTTTAGTGAAATTTAATGTGATTCATAAGTTAGTTGGATTATAGATAGTATTTTTACCTGTTGTTGGTAATATAAATTTGATATGAACGAACAATAAATACACACAATGAGAAACTTATTTTTCTGATGCGTAAGCTGTAATTTTTATAGCTCAGTATTCTACTATATTGTGATTTATATTTCAGTGAATCGCATTTTTCATGTTTGTTAGTAAATTATTATTTTTGAGATTTAAGATCCATCTGCACACATCAGCGACAGTACTTACCGAACAGTTGAGTATATGTGACTTTAATAGGACATGTCAATGACAGTCACGTGGTGAAAACTAGTAATTGTATTTAATATACATATATTTAATGGGTGATAATGACTGGTGCACCCGCCTGCGCTAACTACACGCTGACGGGTCACCAGTACAGGATGGAGTCAGGTCGGTTAGCACATCGTACCGAATTAAACTCGATAGTTTCTAGGGGGACCGCATGGACCTTAAATTGTGCGTTACTAAAATGACGGGAATGATACGGTCGCGATGTGTGCCGTTGGGACTGTAAGGTATGTTTTAATATTGGTAAGTAGTTTTTAATTTAATTTAATCGATGATATTTTACTCCAATTTTCTGTATGGAGGTAAGTACGAATGCCTTTATTGGTAATAAAAGATATTTTAAAATTATATTTGATTTCATTTACCTGCCTTTAGTTGGTTACTTTAATTCCTTTTCAAAATATGGTATAAATATTTTTCAGTTTACATTATATATATAAAACATCCATTATTCTGACATGATTTACTATATTTTGCTATGTGGTAATATATTATTTAATGAAAAGATTCATTTCACTCTATTAACCACCGACGCAAAAACAGAGGTGTTTTATAATGTCTATGTAGATAGTTATCTACGGCAACGTAGCTCCTAAAATAACAAATTGACCTATGCTTCTTGGATACTCTTTTTTGGGGTTCCACACTTAAAATTTTTAAATTTAATAACTTGGAACGAGATTTGCATTCTTGCAATAATACGTGGTGTTAAAGTAGTTTATTATATTCCGACGTCCACACCTAACTGTAGCTGTACATCGTACATACATAATGTACGGACGAATCTATTTGGGGAGCGCCCACGTAGCGTCGCCCGCATCATTGGTCATCGAGTCGCCCTGTCTACTACTTCGTCACTTTGATGACTAGAACGAAGTGGTCGCTCATTTCGCTCAATAGCCACCCTATTTACATACATTAGTGGCCAGCCAGTGGTCGAAATTCGATCATAATTAATTTTAATTATTAGTAATAAGTTTAATTAAACATTTTTTATTATTATGTTTGATATTCTGTAAGAGTCAAAATAAAAATAAGTCAAATAATTATTATTATAGAAGTCGGGACGGACCGCTAGTGTTAAATAAAACTGCATATAATTTTGGGTCGTTTATTTCATTTGAAATTTATTGCCTCATGTATAATGTCATTACTCTTGAGGTTCGCCAGGTACTGTCAAGTCAAACTCGTTTTTACTGCACTATTATTTACTTATTTATAAATCGGTGGTCAAGACGATCAATTGGGATGCTTATCTTGCGTGTATACGTTGCCTAGTCCTTTTTTAGAAGAAGCTGGACCTGAAACAATGAAAATAAAAATTATTAAAGTATACAAGACGCTCATAAGGTAGGCCTCATTGCTAGCAATGTTTCATGCGTTCCTTCCTGGAAACCATCGTTGTTAATTCCCGGTAAACTCGCCACGATGAGCTAACTGACCTGACTTCATGTTCATCTCTGTTAATATCCTACACTGGTGTCCTGTCAGTGCATGCTCTCAGTTAGGCAGGGGCATCATTTTATATCATCCAAGTTAAAAAACTTAAAAAAAAAACTACGTTGCAATTGTTATTACGTAACTCGACGATTGCTATGTAAAAGTTATTTATTGTGTAGCAGTCAATGCTAATTGCGGTTTGCAGCGACCATATTTGAATTTACGGCGACAGCGTGTGCATAAGATATTCTAAACGCGCGCCGGGTTTCAGCTGCCGATACTATTCGTGGCTACCTATCGTAAAACTGTGCGGAAATTAATTTTTTTGTTTGCATGCAGTTTGCAACTGTTGAAGAGGTGTATGTATGTGTATTACTTATTCTATTTGTTAAAAGAGTCGAAGCATAATTGTTACGAATATATTTTTTAAGAATCATCTAATGATTGATTTTGGCCGGAAACCATTGAAAGATGATTTTTTCTTTTGGTGGGTTCCCGCCAGCGACTATGGTACTACGATATACTGAGGATGAAATCAGCTCAATTAACCCAAGGGAATGCACTATTATACATTCAAACTAATTGGGAAATAATTTGTACAATTTTATAATTTTAGTGTGTAATGACACAAAACATTCGCTGATAATTCCTGTATTCTGTGTTCATATATTCATATCCATAAGTAAACAAATCTGTATTATATCTATAATATATTAATAGTGTTCCGGGGTAATTACGTGAGTTTAGATATTCTATAAGCAAATGTTAGCTCTGTTTATAAACAGAGCCAATGTTGGCAGCTTCACTGGAAGCTGCGAGAACAGTCTACTTCAGTTCTCATTTCCTGGAAACATCGTCGTAACACGTATAAAATATTATTGAAATGTTCCAAGTTCGATATCCAATACCTAGCCTGCCAAATGCAACACTTCGCTTCGTCTGGCTCGGTATTATTATTTCGCCAGTTGACGCTTGCGCCTTTTAATGACGCGATACAAACACATTAAATCACTCGCTGTCAGTTTATGGGTCGTTTATACTAAGTATAATTTTATTAGGCAATATTTTATTATGTTATTATCGCACTTTATTTATTTAGGGAATGAAGAATAACAACCACCACTACATCTAGAAATAGATTTTTGTCTAATTTATCATCAAAATGAGTTTAGCCGTATAACCGATTAACCACATATAAGAAAAAATACTTTGTATTTTACAAACTTTCATCTTCTATTTTCAATAATTATGCATTGATTCGTAGAATTTCGTATTTTTAATAGCTCAGTAGGTGTTTTCGTCTGTATGTTGATTAGAGTCAATTACAATTGCTAATTTTCTCGCGTACTTTTTTAGCAACTAATAACATCAGTAGAGGTAGGTAAGGTAATAAAATTATCTACATATACTGAACGAGAAATAAGAAAAACGGAATAATTAATCTCAACTACTTAGTACTACAAGAAAAGTATTTGTAGGTTGTAGGTACTACGTGTTCTCTAACACCTATAAGTATTTTGGTATACATTCTTTATAATAATAAATCATCTTTTAAATTGTATAGTTGCTTACAATTGGATTGGAATTAGTATCTTATATGTATGTTTATTTTTTTTTAAATATAAAGTAGTATGATAGTGGATAATTTAATATTTTTTTGTATTCATAGGTACTTACATGTTTTAATTTGTTTAAATTAATGTTATATACAATATGTATACATGTAAATTTATATTACTTGTTACAATGTTTTTCTCCATCGTTTACAAACATTTAAGGTATGAATAAGCATGCAGCAATAAATATATTGACATCAAGTTTTACGCCGTGAATTTTAAAGACGTTTGCCATAAAGCCACGGATTACTTCCGGACGCCGAAAGGAAAGGAGATACACGAGCAAATTCAATATTCAATACACGGGCCTGATATTCACAACCTCTCTGTTCCCATGCTGTTTATTATCAAATGCAAATCAAAGGAACCAATTTTGGTCAGCACGTATACTAAAGTGCATTAATGTTTCTTAGAATTCAATAACTTGAGATACCTACATACTTGTAGGAATGATATATAGGATACTTGTAGGAAGACCACACATACGATTTTTACCATTAATTGTATCTGCACTACTGAACGTAAGGTCTATTCCGAACTATCATAATCCTGCATTACTACATTAAAATGCGTTGCATGAAGTCATCAATGGACTAGAGTAGTGGTTCCCAAATAGTTTTCGCTATGTACTACTTCAAAAAAGACCTCATACCTTGCCTACCCCTTATAGCGATCACTCTAATATCGTAAATGTGAAAGTTTGTGAGTGTGTATGTATGTTTGTTTTACTGATAGACGCACGTACCCCTTGATGTATCTTCACGTACCCCTGGGGGTACGCGAATTGTAATTGTAATTGTAATTGGGAAACACCGTACTAGGGTAACAGGGGTGTGTGTTATATTTCATTGTAGCTGGACGCAGGGGTGCCAACATTAAATCATTTAGCCTCTATCTGTTCCGACCGCCTCAGGGATCTAGCGATTTAGAATAGAATATAATAGTCTTAATAGTAAACTTAATATTGCTTATATTAAGTTCATTAATAAGATAATTTCTTTTGAATAGTCTTGAAAACACCAAGAAACTTGCGTGTTGCTCTTTTAAACAAATGGATAATCATACTTCACATTTTGTGCAAATACAAACTGCTAAATAGCAAGATTGACAATCTATACCTACATATAAATAAAACTGGAGTGTCTGTAATATTGAAACAACCGTTTTTTACTACGTGCATATATGTAAATATAAATAAATTACATACACCAACATAACATTTTTTACAATTTTTGTTTGTTTGTCTGTCTGTTCATGCTAATATCTGAAATGGCTGCACCGATTTTGACGGGACTGATGACGGGATTTATGGGTAGCTGATGTAATAAGGAGTAACCTAGGCTACTTTTATTTTACAAAAATAATGTTAAATTCCACGTGGACGAAGTTGCGGGAACAGCTAGTAGTAAATAAATAGTAATAATTACCAGTGCAGACTAGTCTCTACAAATAACACCTAATTAGGACACCGCCTTACTTCGACGGTCGCGGTTTCGATCGGTTTCGGTCCTCGATTGTTTGTATCGGCTGTATACAAAAAATGTATTAAAGTATCTCTTTCAGTTGTTTAGTATTTTTAAAAATAGTTTTTGGCACTATATGAATTAGTCTTAGTTATTATTTTTATTTATCGGGCACCCTAGCTTTGCGGATATGGTCGATACTGCTGATTCTATCACGAAACGGAACTCTGAACATAATCCTGCAATTATCACGCGTTTATTGCTGTGTGAAACGTATAGAGATATTTATTTTATGTACATAAAATTTATTATTGGCTAAAAAGAAATACTAGCATTTGATTTAACTTTACGCCTCGTCTAATTATCTACTCGTAGAAAACTAAAGCAATCTTTAAGTTAATCGATTTGCACGTCATCGGTTCATCCATTTCATATTTACGATCGGTCTCTAAATTCAAGTATAATTGATGGAATCTATTATTGACTGCGCAAACGCCTTGTGAAAGGAAGCTTTTGGGCCATTTCCTGGCGCGGAGTGAAATGGGGCCGGGCGTGACGCACGTTTTTACCTCTACATCCGTTCCTAAGATGAAGATTTTTTATAGATGCATATTATTCAGATGTACATAGTACCTACCATCGTAAGCGTCAAAAATATACATTTAGATAGAGAAATCTACATCTACCATTCAATATACATACGTGAGACTTCTTACTTTTATTGTTTCTACCTTGTGATACTTGTATCTATATGTACATCTGATTACATATCTGTAATTAGTAATTCGGCGAGATAATTATTACTGTTAGTTTATTGTTGATAGCAAGAATAATAGAATAGAAGATATTTACATATTTTTTTTAAAGTATATATACGATATAGATGGATATAGAGTTTGGTTTATTAGATATTTTATATAAAAAATGGATACTCTTAAATGTCAAATGTAGTGGTGTAGGTACTTACGTGTGTTATGAATATAACATTACGTATAAAATCCTTTTCCTATATCTGCCGACTTTTAAAAGTATTTATGGCATAAATTAGGTCAAACGTTTATACGAGACCATTGTTAACTTGAAAGGTATAAATATATACCTATATGAATCTTATCACGTAATACGATCTTAACAGTTCTCAAAAGTAATCATCTAACTGTTCTAGAATTTTCTGAGAAGAGATTTTTTCTCAGTCAACAATCTTTACGAATATATGATAACTACTTAGCTGTTCATCGCGACTACTTATGCACAAATTTTTACCTTTCTACAGTATTTATTGTAATAAAATATGTTCGTCCTCGTATATAAATCTACATATTAAATTTCATTAATATCTGTTCAGTCATTTAGTCGTGAAACGATAACAGATACACACATTGCATTTATAATACTTCTATAGCTTTAACCGTTTTTATTATGTGAGGTTGGGGTAAGAACACATTATCACTTCTTATCATACTTAGCTTTGTCGTCTATAACACTGCATATTTACAGCGGTTAAGAAAAGAAAATATTAACCATTGGGCCATTTTCTGTCAGAATAATATATTCTATCCATCGTGGTAAAAGTAGAGTAAATCCTTCTCATGAATATTTCTCTCGGCAGTGGAATATAATAGCTTGTTATAATGATGATGATGATCATCATAGATTTAATAGATATGTGACGTTCTCTTGAGTTAAGGCCGGTTGGTGTTTCTTCTTATCGAAATCCAATTTCATTAAGATTGGTTGAAATATGTAGGTAGAACTTTCAAACAAAATGCTCACTTTCACATT